CTAATTTGGGATAAATGTGAAATATTCCATAATACAAAATTTAAAAATAAGACTATCTACAAACATATATACAAACAAACAAAGGGTGTTTCCCACTCTAGATCCCCTTTCTGGTGGCCTTTGAGGAAGAGGCACCACATGCCAGGTTAGATCAGATCTTCAGCTGTGGGTACTTGAGGAAATTCTACTGGCAAAGAAAACACAACACTGGGACACCCCCCCCCCCCCCCCCCCGCCCCAAACTGCCCCGAGAGTAAGCAGGCCTCGGAAACTGTGCTGTTCGCAAGAATTCCTCCGGCTGCAGGTCCCACCTCAGAAATGGCGGTGGAGGTCAATGGACAAGGAGTTCCTCCCAGAGCGGGAGGGGCCGGCAGGAGGCTCTCCAAGGGACTGGTGGGGCTGCCAGTTGTCTTCACTCTTCCTGTGCAGTGGCCTTTGGCAGCCACTTGGAGCGCTGTTTCCTGTTCTCCCCTCTCATGAAGGAGGTTTCAATGGCTGTTTGCCTGTTGCTACTTCACTACTGTTGAAGGGTTATGTTGGGAGAAGATAACTTTGTCTTGAGTTTATAGGTCACTAGACCACAAGAAGCCACCCAGAGCTGAAGGAGACCACAAATTACCCAAAGGCGATTTTATCTTTAGCCTCATGCTCTACCTGGATGGAGTTTGGATTGTCTTACCTTGAGGCAAAGAGCGAGCTCTATGTAAGGCAAGAAAGGTGACCCAAGGATTGAACCACAGCAAGACCACTACTTGCCCCTCAAACACATTCTTTCTTTATTTCTCAGAACTCCTCAGAGTTTCAGTTAGGTACCTGGTTACTTAGAATAAGAACTACCTCTCCCAGACTCCCTTGCAGTAGGTATGACCCTGTGGCTAAGTTTTGATCAATGGGAGGTACAACATCCAGATGACACACCCTGAGGGAAGGGGTCTTGCTTTTCTTCTCCCACCTCCCTCCATCCTGCTGGTTGTAGTGAAAATGTGGCTGCAGCCACCACCATGGACCTCAATGTAGAAACTTCACACTGGGATGGCAGAGCAACAAGTCAGAAGGAACCTGGGACCTGAGGACCATGGAGACACCCTGAGAACCCAGCAATGATAGCGGGTAAAGAACCTTGTACTTTGTGTAAGCTATTTCTGGCTTGAGAGCTGAACCTAATTCTGACCCAGAACTTGCTATCCATACAAGGTTAAGACTGACAGGTGTTGCACATGGTCATGCCCTGACCAGATCAAAGGTGGAGATGGGTGGAGAGCATTCTTCCCAAAGACTTAGTATTTACTGGAAAGAAAGTAAACAAAATAAATTTAAAAAAAAACACTTCCAGAAATCAAGACAATTATTAGAACAAAAATGTCAACACACAATGCTAGTGTTGCATAGCTTGAATGTTTTTATATTAATCAAATTGTTTGCAGTAGAATCACTGGCAGAACAGGTGTGAATGAAAAACATTCCAAATGTACAGAAAAAAATATTGCTGATCAATTAATATAATTTTCATTAAAACTACGTAACACAAATCCTTTGTTGCTCCAAACAGAATGTGAGTTATTAAGATGGCAGGCAGTCCGGCCATCAGAATCCCACATATTTGGTTCCTCAGGCTGAGGTCAGAGTTTTTTTCCATCTTTACTGAGTCTCAGCTCAGTGATGGCAAGAATGGCAAGAATCAGAGGTGGTAATCCTTGTCTTTGCATTCAACAGCATCAAGGTTTGAGGGACAATGGCTTGGGGACAAGTCACAGAACTATGATACATCTCTCTCCAAAAGCGACATGGGATTCATTTCAAATCTCTGGAATATAGACTCGTAGCATGGTAAGTGTTGAAAGAACCAAAGAATTCATCCAGTCCAGGCCAACCTTCCCCTTTTCCATATGAGGAAACTGAGGCAGAGGGCAGCACATCTTGCCTTAGTCTAGGTCTCAATCCAAGACCTGCCTCTTGAGATCTTTCCACATTGATGCAGCCTCTTGGTTGCCACTCGAATGATAACCTCCAAGCAACAAGAAATGTCAAGTAGCAACAGAGCAGCAATACCATCTACATTCATCTAAAAGCATATTAGGTATAAATGACTGTGGTAGGAATTAAAGACCAGCACAACTTTGTGATTCATACTCCTCCCACCACCCTATGCCACCCCCATCCAAATGGAGTTGAATATATATATATATATATATATATATATATATATATATATATATATTTTTTTTTTTTTTTTTTTTTCTTCTGGAAAGTCAAAACACTAAGTGATGGCTCTAATGGGCCACACCAGAAGGAATCTCCCGTCTCGATGAAGTCAGCACAGAGATGCACTTAAAATTAGACCTTCTGGAGGGCGTCAGAAGGCAGAATGCAAATGTCTTCTTCGTTCACACCAGCCACGTTCCCAGCCAAAATACTGAGCCTGATTTTGATGTTCTTCACTTAGGACTTAAAAAAAAGGCTTTTAAAGTATAATTGCTTAAGTGTATAGGTGGTAGAGCAGAAATCTTGGGTGACAGAATTTCATCAGTAGTATCTACGGTATTTACTTTCAATATTTTGCCCCTTTTGGTAATCCCCTTATCTTGTGCATCCCCAGTATTTTGTGGGTTTTGTTCCTGATAACATCTGCTGGGTCTGAATTAATGGCCAGCACAGGGGCAGAAAAAAAGCTAGCTGCAACCTTTGGTAAGCTTCTTAGGAATTTATGTGATAATAACAACATTTCTGCAACCATGTTAAACAATTAAAAAACATAAAATACAAATCTGTAAATACATTTAGACTTTTCAAGCTTTTTGCAGACACGATGATTTTTTTTTTTATTTTTATTTTTTTACCAGATGATAATGATTTGCTAAATATCCTGATGGCATTTACATTTACATCTGCTTTTCTGTCTTCCCCTCTTTTTTTTGATGCTTTGCAGACAGAATTTTTCTGAGTCCGGACTGAATGAAGGTCTGATATTCCTTTGTACTTCTGTTCTTTCCAGAAGAAAAGCAACTTTATCTTATGGAAACACATACGACCCTTCTTTTGTTCCACGGGATTTGGGGCAAATCACTGATAAGTTAACTTTGCCACGTAATTTGTCCACAGCAGTGTCAGATTCCAGCGGATGAAAATTCAATGTCAACTTACAAGTCCTCAGTATTAGTTACCCTATTTACAGATGAGGAAGTAAAGATAGTGACCAGGCCTGAAGCTAGTTATGGATGAGTGGAACCAGGAACCTAATTTCCTACGGCTTCACTCTACTCTCCTGCTAGCCCGGCACCATGCTGACAAGGATGGGGCTCAGGTGGTCACCTGTTCCACATACAGGGTTGCAGCACGGAATAACACCTCCCTCCCACCCCTGCCGTTCAGCAGCAGAATGAAGGTGGGGGAAAGATGGGAAGTATGCAAGTATAATAAATACACTGGATCTGGAGATAAAGGTCTTTATTCCTCCTGCAACCAGGAAACTATCCAGTTGGTCTAGAGTTTGCTTAGGCATCAAAATGGCTTCACTTCTGTGCACTATAATAGAAAAGCATCCTTTTTCTATAAATCCCATTAAGAAACTGCCTTAGCTTCCTCTTCTGAATACATAAAAACCGCCTCTTAAACATAACACATTAGATTTCTTTTGTGGTTTATTTCTCTTAAATAATAATTTGCTACAATCCTGTCAGAGATTTTTTTTTTTTTTTAAATGGAACACAGTATTAACAAAGGCAGGATTCTTCAGGACAATCAGGATCATGGCGCACTTAGAATAAATTAACATCAGCTCGTGTTTATATTCAGATAGTCTGATCCTCTCCTTTGAAATGAAATGGAGACCATTGTAACCGAGGGTGAATGCACATGTTTGTTCTATACAGAGACTCATTCTTTACATCAACTCCACTGTCATTTGAATGAAGTGAGGAATCCTGAGAAACACTCAGCCACGGGTGCACAAGCATTGACTCACACCCACAGACAGCCCTCTAGAGCTGGCTGTTCCCGTGTGCGATGGCTGGGAGATCTTTCCTCCGAAGGGCCAAAGGTCCTGAATAGTTAGGTGATATCCCATCTCCCCTCAGGAAAACGATAATGCTTCAAGTGTCATAGCTCGACGTAGCAGCAATCCATGTAGTAGATTCAGTAGTTGACGGCTCCAGTCTTGGGCGCCGACAGCTCAGCGAGAGGCGGACAGAGGCAAGCGGCACCTGCTCCGACCACCAGCACCCAGACACCAAGGCAACACCCCGCATCCTCACTCTCCGAGTCCCAGCTGCAAACTCACCCGAACCTAAACGACTAGCCCGGTTCGGGCACCGCGTGTGGACCGGCAGAAGGCCCACGAAGGCTGGCGGAAAGCGGGGCACTCTGGGCACGCTCCTCGGGGCCAAGAGAGTCAGAGGCGCAGGGCGATGGGACGAAGGAAAGGGAGGCAGGAAAGGGACTGCTCATCCTTCAGCCGGAGAGCCCGCCCCCTGCCCTGGGGTAGATCCATCTCGGTTTCCGTTAGCATCGGGCGTGACCGCTACCTGCAAAAGGGGGGCCATTCCATATGCAGCTCGGCCCGGAAGCACAGAAAGCTCGGCTCGTAGAGTCCCGCGCACATATACACTCAGAGCATCCGCGTGACTCCGAATCGCCACGCCGTCTTGTTTCTGGGAGGTCACAGCGCTGCTGGCGTCCCCTCTCGGATGCCCAAGGATGGCTGACGGGATCGTGGTGACGTCTGGGGAGGAAGGCATCGGGACAGGCCCCAAACGGAGGCCCCCTTCTGCGCATTTCTCTCCGGAGGAATCCCGGGCCTAACCAATGCTACGGCCGCATGCGTGTATCTACACAGTTCCTATGTACACGGTTCCTTTGTCATAGAAATTTAAAGTGCTTGGGGTTCGACGCGCCCTCTCCTCTCCCGCACCACAGCCTACAGGTTCCCCTTGCTGCTTCCAGAGAGAAGGCCGGTCCTTGTGGAGGATGCCCTTGGAAAGAGGAATGAGCGTTTCACAGTTGCCTTAGCTGGTATCCAGCATGGGGACCAAGCCTTCTTCATGAACACGAAGAATGGCTTCGCACACAAACTTGTACTGGCTCTGGAAAAGAGAAGATGGCCGTCAAGCCCACCAGCACCCCACAACCTGCCCCTCGTGTCCACGCAGAGTAACCTGATAAATATCCTAAGCTCCTGCGCTGGCCGGGCTAGGCCTGCTCTGGGCTACATGCCAGGGGAAGGGTGAAGACACACCTGCGACCCCATGATTGTTTCAAGAAGGGGGAGGGGGGAAGACACTGTTCCCAGAGTGAGATGGGCAAAGCGTCAGGGAGCCAGGCAGAGGGAGGAACTGGCCGCCTGGAGGAGTCAGGGAGGGTGACGGTTGTTGCGGGCTGGCCACCCCAGTGCAGGCACACGTGTGGAGGCTCCGAGGAGAACGGCCTATTCTGAGAATTGCAGTCAGAGCTCAGGGTCCTGGCCCAGGACACCCGGGCATGGAAGGAGGGACCACACAGGGGGCCAGAACCAGGTCCTGAGGGGTAAGGATCTGGATTTTGTTTTAAAAGAAGAGCCACTGAAAGCTGCTCTAAAGAAGATGGTTCTATTAGCAAGCACCTGAGAAACATGTGTTTGAGTGATGCATTTAGGCTGAAAGGAAGCACTGAGACTGAGCTCACCAGCTGGGAAATTTACCCAGATGATGCACCTGAACAATTTTAAGCCAGCAAGGAGATCTTCCACACCACGGAACAGGGTCCAAGACAGCCTTAATAACCTGAATTTCCCCCCACTCTCTTACCCAGACGGTGGGTACGAACGAATATAAAACCTCGAGAGCTCACAGTTATTCGAGCAATCTTATAAATGTTGCCCACGAGCCTGTGAGAGGGCACAGAGTAATTACAACACGGTGTCCCCTCCTTCCTTGTTAACTCTCCCGGGGGTTTTGGCTCAGAGGCCCCTCCTCCAGAAAGCCTTCCCTGACTTTCTGAACTGTCGGCTTCTGTTTCTCTTCCACCGGGTTCTCACATTTCCCGTGGCCTCCTCACTGCCGCTGAGATTTATCAGTGATCAGACCAGTTCTACCGTCATACAGATGGGCAGGGTCTCTCCTTTTGCGCAATGATCCGATGAATGACTGAATATGGGATGGCCCCCCTTTTGCAGATAGGGAAACTGAATCTGGGAGAGAGGTTAAGGGATGACTCAAAGGTTGCCCGGTAGGCGGGGGGCCTGAGTCAGGGTCTTTCCACCCCACCACCTCTCTTTCAGCTCTGGGGAAAACCGCAGGATTTCCTCTTTAGGAGACGTGCAATGCAAGTCCCAGGTGTGACAGACATGGGAGAGAGCACACAGGAGGTGGGACGAGGGCCATGTGGAAGGTTCCCTGAGCCAAAAGGCTCATCTTGGGACAGGTGGGAGGGGGAAACCCTCAGGTGACCTTGCTTACTTCCCATGGACAAGTGATGGGCCTGGGGGTCGCCATGCAGAATGCCACCAGGGCTGCTCCCTGGCTGAGTAGTTGGCAGGAAACAAGCCGTGGAGGCAGCAGAAGTGGAGGCCGCGAAAGGCAGGGGCCAGATGCGGCGTGCTGTGGAGTAGCTCAGCCTGAGAGGCTGTGACCGTGGGCAAGTGACTCAGTCCCCTCAAGCCGCCGTCACCTGACCTGCCGTGCCCTTTGCTCAGGCCTGGCCCGGGGCAAGCGCTCAGGGAGCATCGGCCACGGTCACTCTATTTACTGTTGGATTCCTACTCACTGATGTCTGCACCATCATGGCGCGCTGGTCTCGCATCTTCCGGACAATATCCAGAGGGTAAACGGGCAGGTTCCTCTCGATGAGACACATGGCTGTTTCCATGGTGACCAAGACACCGGTCCGACCTATTCCAGCGCTGCGGGGAGAGGAGCAGAGGCTTGGAATTTGCTCAGCCTGCATTTCTTCCAGCCCAGCCCAGCTCCTCCAGCTCCTCCCGGGCCCCACCTTTACACAGACGGGGTCCGGAACACACACTCAGGGCGCTCCCAAACTGGCTGACAGAGCCTCTCCTCAGAGTGAGGCCTGGCACTTAAAACCAAAGGAACTTCCCCTACCCCCCCCACCCCCCGACCTTCAATCTCATTCACATCTCTCCTGCAGGGCAGCGGCTGGGAGGGACTCTTCTCTCCAGCTCCGCGCTGCACTCGGAGGTTATGCTTCCCGAAGTTCCACATCTCCTGACGTCGTAAAGAAACGGTCACCAGAGCTTTGTTCAAGCACGTCTGATCTCGTGGGATTCAGGTGGATTTGATGTCTGCCAACCTTCCCCAGGCCTTTCCAAGGAGTGGGAATATTAAAGCACACACACCGAACCCAACAAGCCACCGTACCTGCAGTGCACTAGGACGGGCTCGGCGTCCACTCTCAGGGACCTCACGTAGCTCACAAATTCCAGGAAGTCCGAGGAGTCGTCGGGCACGCCGTGGTCCGGCCACGCGACGTACTGGAGGTGTGTCACAGTGTGCTCTTCTCCGGTCTGAGGGGGACGCCCCGGCCTCGGTCAGTCAGCCCCGAGGGGGGCAGGAAGACCCGGCCGCTCTCCGGCCTCCAGCCCGGGCACTTCTGTCTCCTGATGCTCTTTCTGCCCACCGTGCACAGCCCTGCAGGGGCCCTGCCTCCTGCCCACCCTCCTCACCTCCTCCCACCCCTCCTCCCCACACAGGAGTTCATTCCGTTTGTTCCTACAGCACTTGCTATTAAGGTCTCACACAGTAGCTCTTTTTTTTTTTTTTTGGTAATGGGCAAGATTTATAGAACAGGAAGTTTACCATTATTAGCGTGCATTTCACTGCTTTTAAGTGCATTTACAATGTTGTATTATACAACCATCACCACTATTTACCCATTAAACATACACTCTTCATCCCCTCCTTTCCGCCCCCAGCTCTGGGCAGCCACCGTCCCCCTTCCTGTCTCTGTGAATCTGACTCCTCCGGGCACTTCACGTAAGTGGAACCAGACAGGATTTTCCCTTCGGCGTCGGGTTATTTCACTTAAGAGTGTCCTCAAGATTCACCCGTGTTGTAGCATGGGTCAGAACTCCCTTCCCTTTTAAGGCTAAGTAATAGTCCATCGTACGACGATACCCCTCGTTTATCCGTACAGCCATCATGGCCATGGCTGTTTCCACCCGCTGGCTACGTGAACGGTGCTGCGTGGACACGAGTTCTGGCTCTTTTACGGAAACGCTGACCAGGTGAAAATGGGGAGCCGGCCGAGAAGAGCTCTCGCAGGCCCACGGTGGCTGCTGACTTAGACCTGCCTCGGACCTGCCTGCCCGGACCACCCACCGTCAGGGCGCCGCTCACCTCGGTGTTGGTGACCAGCATTTCTCGGAACACGTAGGCGATGGTGCAGTCCTCTGACTGACAGCGGATGTGGAAGCTGCCATGCTCGGCGACATCGGGAGGATCGGGCCAGTACTGGTGGCACTTGGTCTGCGAGGGAAGCGCGGGGTGTGAGTGACCCTCCACTGGGGGAGGGGGGGTGCTGAGCATGAGCCGTTCCCTGGACGGATGGTCCGGGCACTCAACCAGAGCCCTCTCACTACACCATGTACTCCTGGGCCGGGAGACAAGGAGCTCAGGCAGGCTGACCTGCTGTGTCTGCTCTCTATGGAGAATGCGATGGGGGTAGGCCTGCCAGGGGCCGGCCACAGCTCACAAACCAGTCTGGGCTGGAAGCCAGAGGATGAGTACAGAGATTTATTTTCTTTTCACCAGGGTCTGGAATGAACAGGAGGAGGCCTCAGACCTGGGGCCTTGACTTAGCTCGACCTCTCCACCCCCTGCCTTCTCTACCTCAGTCAATCCCACTCCAGTCCCTCAAGCCCCTTCTCTGCTCTCAACACTCCCTCTCTACCTCAGCCCTCCTTCCCCACCCACCCCCACCCTCTCGAGGTAAAGGCTTCAAGGCACATTTGGGAGTCAGGACTCTGTGGGAGGCAGCCATATGACTGTGAACCTGCTACTCAACTGCTCTGATTCGCCTGTTCTTTACCCAGAAGATGGGGACAGCACACACTTCACGAACAGCGACAGAGGCTGGAGATACTAGTGCAGTGCCAGGCTCGCTACTTGTGGGGAGCAAGTCAATGGAGCCCCTATGACTGTTGTCACTGTGCGCCCTGCATCAACTTGCGGAAGGATGGTGAGAGAGTCCACACCTCAGTCTGACTGAGCACAGCAGGTGCTCCATTCAAAGCAGGTGGCTCAAAATTAATTTAGATTTGATTTTGGAATGTGCTCCCGAATTTCATCTGACTGAGGCAGTCCAGATGAAAGACATCCCTACACGTAAATGAACGCCCCTCTGCACCCGAGCAGCAGCCCCTAGGCCTGCCCAGGCTTCCGTACGGGAGTCACATGGAGCTGAGACTCCCAGAGCATGGACGAGGAGACCCCAGGCTCAGCAGGATTGAGGTCTTAGAGATGGCTGACCTGACTCCACCACCCTTCCCATTTTTATTTCCCCCTCCAAACCCTGAAGCTTGTCCCACAGATATCATACTTCTGCCCTGACTTCAAAGCAAAACTCACGGCCAAGCTGTCCCTCTCATCATAGTTCTGTCAGTCAAATTCTGATTCACTCAGAAATGTTTTTTTTTTTTCTCCAAGCACACAGCAGCATCCAATATAAAAATTACATCTGTTTGCAGCTGAAAGAGGGTATGCCAAGGGATGCACATAATTTGTCTGGAAACAGCTTTTCTATTCTTGCTTTCAAATGCCACAGTTTGAACTTAATGCTTTGAAATTAAAGCATGCTGCTGGGAAAGAGAGAGCTGAGAATTTGCTCGTAAACCTTAAGCCTGGGTATCTGGCTAACAGCCACTGCCTGACTTTGCTTGGACAGAAAGGGGCTGCAGTCCGTAGAACACGCGGCAGAGCCCACACCCACCAGCCTACATCTTCTCCTCTTCCGCAAGGGCGCGCGGAGCTCTGCCGTAGGCCTGGTGGGAACACAGCTTCTCGACTAACTGATCAGCCCATGCGAGGCAGAGCAGAGCCACAACAGAGGCTCCCAGTGAATCTGCCTGAGCTGGCCTCTCTCTTCACCCCCTGCTCTGATTTAGACCTGAGGTCTATTTGGATCTGAAAGCATGGGGGGGTGTGGTGGGAAGAGGAAGGAGTTTGTGGAAATCTTGAGTTTCAATCCTGGTAAGTCCCACTAACCAACTGTGTGATCGTGACCAAGTTACTCCACTTCTTCAGCTGCAGTTTCCTCATGAATGCTGCTGCTGGGGGCAGGGATGACCCTCAAGCTCCTAGTCTTTGAACAGAGTAAGCACTAAATGGTGCCTTTTAAAAATATATACATATATTTTTATTGATTTCAGAGAGAGAGAAACATCAATGAGAGAGAACCATTGATCGGCTGCCTCCTCACGCCCCCTATTGGAGATCAAGCCCGCAACCTGGGCCTGTGCCCTTGACTGGAATGAATCCAGGACCCTTCAGTCCGAAGGCCAATACTCTATCCACTTAACCAAACCAGCTAGGGCAGTGGTTGGCAAACTCATTAGTCAACAGAGCCAAATATCAACAGTACAACGATTAAAATTTCTTCTGAGAGCCAAATTTTTTAAACTTAAATTTCTTCTAACGCCACTTCTTCAAAATAGACTCGCCCAGGCTGTGATATTTTGTGGAAGAGCCACGCTCAAGGGGCCAAAGAGCCGCATGTGGTTTATGAGCCGCAGTTTGCCGACCACGGAGTTAGGGTAAAAAATGGTGCTTTTTATGGGCATTATTTTACCTTGATCTCAAAACCTATGAGATAGGCACTATCATTGGCTCTATTTTGCATCTGAATAAACTGAAGCTCAGAGAGGGAATCAACTGGTGTCAGATGACACATATAGTGGGGCATACACAGATGTAAAAAATCCCCCCGCACCACCCAAGAAATAACCTTGATGGAAGAAGAAATTACCTTTTCCATTGAAAAGCTGTACCTCTATAGCTCTATTCCCTTTATGAGGAAAGCATGAGCCGGAAGGGAGCACAGAGAGGGGAACATTTGGGGCGGGAAAGAAAAAGGGAGAATTCAGAGATCCTGCAGGGAAGCCTTTCCCAGACCACGGGGTGACTCAGGGCTTCAGACCTGAGGCCTGCACAGTGTGACGGGGGACTCGGCCAGCCGCAGGCCTGCAGGAAGTCCTTCTCTACTAATGCATAACCCGGAGAAAACACAGGGACACATATTTCCCCTGCAGTGACTGACTCCGGACTCCAGGAAGAGCCAGCTGCTGGGCGGTGGTGAGGACCGGAAGAGGGTGATGAGGCCCCAGGATGAAGGGCTCCCATCACCTGAGAGCTTGTAACAGGATAGGGAGGAGACATGCAGCCTGGATGTTAGAAGAACAGGTTTCCAACAATCGATAAACAAGAGGGGTGAGTTCCCAGGGCCCGAGACTGTGAAGGGAAGGCTGTGACTCAGGGGAGATGGGAATCTCTCACGCAGGAACCAACAGGAATGGGTTCAGTTAGGAAGAAAGGGCTGGGAAACAAAGAAACCGTGCTGGTCACCGACAATAGAGAGGAGGGGGGTGGAATCAGGACGGAGTAGGAGGGCCGGGGCCTGCGCAGCAGCCACAGGAAGCGAGGCCTTCTGGGCTGGGAGAAAGGATCTTTTCCGCACTTTTCAGCTGGAACAAGCAGAACAAGGGAGGGAAGGGGATGCTATCAGGGCAGATCATCTGTCACCAGCCATGCCTGCTGGAGCTCTCTTTTCTCTGCACAGAAGAATGGCCTTACAGCCGGGAAGGGGAGGCCAACGTTAAAGGGGAAAGAGAAGGTCACCACAGGTGTGCTGGTGGTGCCTAGCACCCCTGCCTGGCTCTGGTGTTGGCTCTGAGGAGCTGCACCATGGACTGAGAGACCTTATGAGACAGAAGAGCAGAGCCTCCACAGACAGTTCCTGAGAACACCTGGAGCATCTGGGCACCCAGAAGTAACAGAATAGTCCGGCAAACAGAGCGTCATTTCCAAATGGGGGGGCTGGCAGATTTTGGAAAGGACAAGGCAATGAACTTGATCTATAAATACCAGAGTGGCCCCAGATGAGGGCCTGTAAAGTATGGGATGCCTGCAGGTCAGTTAGGAGACCAGGTCTGTATTCAACAGCAGAGACCCACATGGGTTTTGTTCATGGGTGCCGTGAAAAGTCTCAATTTGGGTCCAGAATAGCTTTCACATTATACCTCCCTGATACTTGAACTCTCTTTTTAAGAGGGAAGGAAGGGAGGAGGGGGAGATGCGGGTGTCTGAGGAAGCAAGCAAGCCTCAGGGTACAGATGAGACTTGAATATAGGACACATGGCTGTACATCTGCCTTCTTGTCCACCACACTACAGAATAGGATGATAGCAAGTGCTCCAGAAAAACAAACAAACAAACAAAATGTCCCTGTAACACCCTAGCTGGTTTGGCTCAATAGGTAGAGTATCGGCCTACAGACTGAAGGGTCCTGGGTTTGATTCTGGCCAAGGACACATGCCTGGGTTGAGGGTTCGATCCCCAGTAGGGGCTGCAGCTAATCAATGATGATAATTCTCATCATTGATGTTTCTCTTGCTCTTCAGCTTGCAAAAGGTGACACCTTGAGCACCTTTTGCAAGCTGAAGGCAGCTAATCAATGATGATAATTCTCATCATTGATGTTTCTCTTGCTCTCTTCCTCTCTAAAATCAATAAAATATATTTTTAAATGTCTCTGTAACTTCATTTTCTATTCAAAACAAGATTAGAAGAATAACAAAAAAACAAACAAAAGCAAAACAAGCAAAAATTAAAAATATAAAAAAACACGAGACTTTTAGACAAGGGGATGCCACAGTTCTGCTACCTTGTGCTCTCAGCGAAGCCTCAGACAAGCCATCCCTCAGTAGAGAGAGGGAGAAATGGCAGGGGCTGGGGACAAAGCTGGGAGAATTAATAACTGCTCCCCAAAGAATGCCCTCAATGCCTTTGACTTTCAGGCTTCTACAGCCTCTTAAAGACCTTCCCATTTTTAAAAACATGACTTATGTGAAGAGAAGAGATTTTGATGAAAACTGTGACAAGCAGCGGAGAGTGATAGCTAACACAAAGAATGAGAAAAGCCCCAAGGAACACTGTGAAGGCCAGAACTGAGTCCTATCGAGTCCTACCAGCAATGATGCTGATGATGATGGACACACACACACACACACACACACACACACACACACCAATGCCTTAACCTTTGTTGGACATGTGCAACATGTAGTTCTCTAAGCTTCTTGTACATATTGTCTCCGTCTTCATCCACTCTCCAAGGGGAGCACCATTATCTCCATTTCCTACAGGGACAGCTGAGGTTCAGAGAGGTTAGGCACTTGCTCAAGAGGAACCTTTTTTGGACCCAGACTGTGTGGCTCCAGTGCTGTACATAGCTTTCAAGGGCTTGAGACAAAGATCAGACCATGTCCACTGACCACACGCTTGGTGGGAGCTCAAGGTGTCACCTTTTGCAAGCTGAAGATGACTTTCAGAGACCTGAAAGAGCACCTCACAGAAGAAGGGAGGACTCACTCTGCGTCTTCAGGTGGGAAAAGCAGGTGGGGTAACGGTTCAAAGCAATATGGATTTCAGCTCCTTGTGAGGAGGACTTTTTAAAATATCAGAACTGAACACCCACAGATGGACCCTGGAGGGTCTTGGCAGAAGTGGAGAGCGCTCTGCCCGGGACACCGCACGTATTGTAGAAGCCATTTGCGATCTAGGGGGCTCTATCAATCCTTATTTTGCTGTTTCAGGTGAGAGGGTAGGCTGGTCTCCTCAAACATACGACACATCCCAATCCTGTGTCCTGACTTCCAGCGTGGACCAATCTGGCATTCTGAACTCTGCAGCGAGGAAAGGCCTGGGAGGAAGTGGCACAGATCCATTCAAAGCAGGTGGCTCAAAATTAATTTAGATTTGATTTTGGAATGTGCTCCCGAATAAACGTTTCATAATGAAGCTATCCAGATGTAGGCACAAGCTCCAGCATTCACGATTCAGTGTCCCTTGCATGCTGATTTCTGTTATATAATCAGAGATCAGTTCCCATGGAAAATGTACACACCCTGCTCAGCACAGTACCGTGTCCATCACTCTCCTAATTAAGCCCTTCTTCTTACCTGCTTTTGCAAGCGGTTTTGCTGCCACACAAGCAGAGGCTGGTAGAGGCTGTCATTTTTCCTATGTTTTACTTCCACTGTGAACCTGGCACCCACTCTGCTCGCCTGAGGACCAGCACCTGTCCTGGGTGGTTAAGGCCAGTGCAGGGGTTCTGGGCAGATGAGGTGAAACGCCGGGCAGGGCCTCTGGCTTGTGATAATGGATCCTAGCTAAGAGTGGGAGGGGCTGTCCTGTCATTTTTTAGCTTGGAGGAGGCCAGGGTGTGGGCAGCAGGAGGGCTGAGCTTGCCATCAGTCCATCAGTAGCTCCTTACAGAAGCGTTATGAGTCATGTAGGGGCTACATGGGGCCACATTTAAGACCCTTTTCACTCTGAGGCTCGTGTTCCACAGAACACAGCGTGACGCGCACACATCTGAATTGGAAATCAAGCCACTTACCCGCCCTCGCTCTGTGAGAGTCGTCAACATGACGATGAGTGATAACTTCTGATCCCAGACGACTTGCCAGAACTGTGCGCAGGTATGTGGCAGGGGTCCCTGAGCGGCAATGTACTTGTTCACGAGGTTAGCAGCGGGAATTTCCATCTGGCAAAAGAGTTTTATGGCATTAGAATCTGTTACTGCCACCGGGCAGACAGGAAACTGGATCTTAAAACTCTTCTCGTTGACAACTGACATCACACCAGAATAATGTCTCTATCAACTTATGGCCCGTAAGAAACATTTTCAGAAAGTTATTGTTAAAATTCCTTGAAAGGTATTTGACAAAGGTGCTAGCATACGATAGTTAAGACACAACTGTGATACTCGGCAGGTGGTCATTAGAAATGTACCCATGAGATGGTGGGAGAGTTTAAATGACCTTCCCTGCTGTATCGTAAATATAATCAATATTAGGCATCTGTGTTTGCGGGGACACCTATCAATCCTCAATTTATTTATTTATTTATTTATTTATTTATTTATTTGTTTATTTTTATTTTTTAAATATATTTTATTGATTTTTTACAGAGAGGAAGGGAGAGGGATAGAGAGCTGGAAACGTCGATGAGAGAGAAACATCGACCTGCTGCCTCCTGCACACCCCCTACTGGGGATGTGCCCGCAACCAATGTACATGCCCTTGATCGGAATCGAACCTGGGACCTTTCAGTCTGCAGGCTGACGCTCTATCCACTGAGCCAAACCGGTTTAAGCAATCCTCAATTTTTTTAGATTGATGGTTGCCAGGTGGGAGGGAGGTTGGGAGAAAAGGCGAAGAGACTGAGAAGTACAAACTGGCATTATAGAATAGTCACAGGGATGTACAGTACAGCACAGGGAACATAGTCAATAATACTGTAATAACTATAGATGGTGCCAGGTGGGTATTGGAAATACTGGGGAAGAGGGGGTCCCCTCAGCCCAGCCTGTGTCCTCTCACAGTCTGGGAGACCTTGGGGGATAGCTGACTGCCGCGGAGGTGGGAGAGGCCCCTGCCACTGTGCTCGCCAGCCATGAGCCTGGCTTCTGGCTGAGCAGCGCTCCTCCATGTGGAAGTGCATTGACCACCGATGGTCAGTGCACATCATAGCAACCGGTCGTTCCACCCACCGTTCGATCGATTTATTATATAGGATGGTTGCAGTTTAAATGGTAGTGTAAGTACCTAAGTAATATCCTCATTTTGCCTCTTGACTTGCAAAGGCCAAAATACTGACTCTCTGGCCCTTGACAGAAAAGATGTGCTGACTCTTGGTTTAGATGAAGAAACGGACGGACATTCAGAGAGGTTAACTAAGTTGCCCAAGATGTATTGTCAGAGTAAAATGACTGCTTTGCTCACAACATGTGAAATCTTCTACCTTTTCTTTTTGGGTTATATGCACAGAGGTGTTTTTATTTTTATTTTAGATGACAGTATATACAGCAATAACAGGGTGGAAAACACAGAAAGTTACTATCCTAGCACTGGCAAAAAAACAAACAAAAAAACCCCACAACAAAACGAACCCTCCCCCAAACCCAAAACGCCTAGATGCCTGCAACTGAGGACAGAAGGCACGTGGACCCTGGAGTCAGAGACACAGAATCTAAGTTTTGGTCTCACCTTTGGTTAGCCTCGTGGCTTACAGATTATTTAATCTCTCTGAACCTTAGTTTCCTCCTCTGCAAAATGAGACTGTTCTGCCTTCCCTCCGGGCAGCTGTGCTGAACTAAGGGGGTGAACAGGAAAGCACTTCCTCAAATGCAAAGCACCAGCCGTGATCCTGCTCCTGACAGGGGTAACGTGTTCTGATCACCCAGTTTCCCGACTTACGTTCACGTGGCTCGCGTTAATGTAATCTTCGTTTCCCTGCAGTAACACTCGGGTGGTGTCATCTGCGGGGGGGGAAGAAGAGGTATTTACTGATCATTCCCGGCCTTATTTTGATCTTTCCCAGCACACAAGGGTTCAGTTCCCAGCCCCATCTGCAGGCCTCGCCGCATTAGCATAAACACTATTCCCCAACTGTTCCCAGGCCGAGATGCCTGCAATAAAGACGGTGGTGTTTACAGACACACTGGAAGTCGGTCCAGAATACCAGACAATCTGTTTCAGAAAGGGAAACATTATCTCAGTGTGTGTGTGTGTGTGTGTGTTGGGGGGGGGGGGAGAAGCAGGGGTGGGGAGGGGGTGTAGAGGAGGCGTTTGTGTCAGAAACTCACAAGGCAACACGTCTTTGTATCGGTTTTTGTCCAAATTTTGAGGCAGCTTTGCAAAGGTGATGGCCAGCCCAGGTTTCTTTCTGTAGAGTTGCTATATAACAAACAGAGAAGTAAAAAGCTGTTGTAAAAATAAAACAAAAAAACCCAGCAATCAAAGGAGTGCGAAAACATACTTGAACAGTAAAAGTTTATCGTTCAGGGTGCCAAAATCTTACCATTTAAAAGTGGTTGTGTGTTACATCTTAAAAGAAAATGTTCCAATAAGAAATTCTATGATCTGATAAGAAGAATTCTTCAATTTAAAAAACAAAAACAAAAAACGTGAATGAGGACTTAGTGGGGAGCGGGGGTAGGGATGGGGATAGGAGAGGCAGCGGTGGGAAAAGTCATATCTGTCTGAGTCACAGATAATGATCACAGTAAGTAAAACCTTTATGACCCAACATCAACAAATCAACAAACAACAAGTGTTGGCGAGGTTGCGGAGAAAAAGGAACCCTCGTGCACTGCTGGTGGGAATGCAGACTGGTGCAACTACTGAGGAGAACAGTATGGAGTTTCCTCAAAAAACTGAAAATGAAACTCCCATTTGACCCAGTAATCCCACTCCTAGAAATATATCCCAAGAAATTAGAAACACCAATCAGAAAGGATATATGCACCCCTATGTTCATAGCAGCACAATCTACAATAGCTAGAATTTGGAAACAGCCTAGGTGCCTGTCAGCAGATGATTGGATCAAAAAACTATGGTACATCTACACAATGGAATACTATGCTGCCATAAAAAGAAGGAATTCTCATCATTTGCAGCAACCTGGATGGAATTGGAGAACATCATGCTGAGTGAAATAAGCCAGTCAATGAAAGAGAATCAGCACATGACTTCACTCATTTATGGATAATAAAGAACATTATAAACTGATGAACCAAAAGATAGATATAGAGACAGTAAAGCAACAAGCAGATTGTCAAATTACAGCGGGGAGGGGAGGAGGATCTGGGGGAGATAATAGATCAACCGAAGGACTTGTATACATGCATATAAGTACAACCAATGGACACAAAACTCTGGGGAGGGAGGGTAGGAATGGGAGGGGGGATGGTAAGATATGTATACAGATAATAATTTAATAAAAAAATAAACCTTTATGACAATCATTTGACAAATGCCAAAAGCAGGTAGAGAAAAAAAAAAAATCCAGCTTGAAATGAAATGAAAATAATTTACATGAGTCTAAAAACATTTCCCTCCAATTCAGTGGAGTAAACCATATGTTTTGCTTGAAAACAAGAACATTTCATTCATCATTCCACAGGTCTATTTCCATAGTAAAAACATTTATTGCCTTGAGAAAACCAAAACATTTATTCCCACACATAGTAAACTTCATATGAAGAGGTATTCCCCTGTGCACGTAATCACCAGCAAAAAAAACCCAATTGACACAGTCTTTGCATATCTGCAAGCACGCATCAGACACCTGGGCACAGCACCGGAAGTGATTCTGTCGACAGCTCTGTGAGAGGTATTAACCGTATCCTTCGTTTGCAAGCGAAGAGGTGGAGATTAAATGCTTAGATCATGTACCACACACTGAACTCAGATGTGACTTCAGTGCTTGAGTTTTATTTTTTCCCTGAAACCACTTTATTGAGGTCTGGTTGATATGTAAAAAGCGGTCCATATTTACTGTATACAACGCAGTGAGTTTGGGGGTAAGTACGCAAGAGTGAACTGCCACCCTCAAGGCCAAGGACAACCCTTCCCTCCCAGAAGTTTCCTCCTGCCTCCCTACCCTCTTCCCTGGGCTTTCTTTTCTACACAACAGTTTCTCTCATTTTGAACCTGAAAGTGAAACATTATTCACCAGTGGTTTTTATGAACTTTATGGGAGTTTTAAAACAACACAGTTTTTCAACGTTGGACCTCTTTTTCTTTCTTTTCTTTTTTTCAGAAAATTTGGGAAATTCTGACTTGTATAAAAAAGAAAATTACCAGTAACTTGACAATCCTGAGACAACCCTTTTCATATATGTTCTCCAGTTTATATTTTTGTGTGCACCTGGACACAAATATACATAAGCATATCAGTAAACACATAACACAAAGGTTTTGTAAAACAAAAAAACGGAGGTTGAATTACATGCCATCATGCTCCATACTGTGTTCTAAGAGACCACATGTTCTGAAAGAAGCAAATCGGCACGTCATCGGAAAAGTTTCAGGGTCACATAGACTTGAGAAATACTACAAACCACCTTCTGTTCTATGATTCTCCAAGAAGACAAGCCCTGTAGTGCGTAAGCTAGCTTGTTTAATTGTGATTAGCTAAGCATTTCTCAAGCTAATTTGGCCATGGAGAATCTCACATCTCTTTTTTCCCCCTACTTCTTACATAGTGTCTAGTTTTTTTGTGTCATTAAATATTCTAAGTATTCTCTATACTTATGGTTTTTACTGTCTCAATATCCATAGTTTCTATAATTTATTTCAACTTTTACTCAACTTTTGACTAGGCTGTTTTTAATTTTTCACTCATAAATTTTTAGGAACAGAATTACTGCATCAAAGCATATTTTAAAGAACTTTGATACATATAACCACGCTGCCTGGTCTCAGGGGTGCGTGAAAATGCTTTGTTCAACAAACTGTGGCTGATATCATCAGCTAGAATGTGTCTGCAATTTGAATAGGAAGGCCAAATGTTATTTTGCCCCTTATGTTTTTGCAAATTTTATTTGTTGGTTTTTCTCTTATTAGCTCTCTCTCTGTCTCTTTTTTAAATTAAACAAACAAGTTGTACAGAAATCACCAGGAGAGAATTAGCATAGAGATCTGGGGTAACGACAATTATACATTTACTAAATGTTTAGAATTCCAATCTCTCCCCGTGCTCAGCTACTAATCGCCTTTTTAATTTTAGTTCATAATAATCAACTAGCCATTGTACAATTTCTTCAGTATCTTCAATCTGTAATGGACCTCTGAGCTCATTCTAGAAATATTCATGGTTTATTGGTGGTTTTGGTTTGTTTCTGAAAGGAGAATATCTGAATCAGTCAGATTCCTCTAACCTGCACAGAAGTGAAATCTAATTAAGCAAATATAATCAGTAAACCTAACCTGGAGGTAAAAAGAATTTCTTTTCAAATAACAAAATGTAAATGTAATCAACTTGAGATGGTCTGGCAGAAAAAAGACCTAGCAAAAGGCTTTAATTATAGTAAGTATATAAGTATCTCAGCAGTATAATGATCTTTTGATGAGTTTATAGAATACTAAAAATAAAAAATAAAGCACTATAGCATTATATAAATATTTTACATGTGCATACCCTGGGTTAGTAGAAATGCATGGTACATTCATACCACAAAATTATATGCAAGTAATAAAAAAAATTAGACTAAAAACACACATTTGGAAAGATCTCCATTTGTCTATTTTTAAGTGAAAAAATGCAAGTTACAGAATTATACACACACACACACACACACACACACACACACACACACATATATATATATAGTGACCCCATAGTGGCATATAGTATGTGTGTGTGTGTGTGTGTGTACTTATGTACACACGTGTGTAAAAATTATATATGCATGAGCATTGGAACAAATATGGATAAATACTCACAAAATTATTTGTAAATTATAACAAAGAGAAAGAACCTAGAAGGTGTGGGGTTAGGAGACTATTAATTTTACTGTGGCTATTTCTGAATTACTTGAATTATGACAAGGGAAGGGCTCATGTTGGAGTTGGGTGAAGGACTGGGTCCCACCCAGCGATGCTGAGTTTTGACAATGGATTAGACTTTTAACAGATTCTAACCCTAGATCTCTTTCAGTGCAACACTGGGCAGGTCCTTTCGCCCCTGAGCCTCATTTCCTCCATCCATAAAGGAGAGACCCTAATCATTCTTCCCAGATCTATTTCACAGAACTGTTGTACAGACATTAGAGTGTGTAAACCACCTTCAGCAGATTCCAATGTGCTATAGAAATGCTAATTATTAACTTTGATTTTGTTACAGTTGGGACCAAATGCTTTCTGGAACACATTTGTCATTGTTCATCGAAAGCCACGGGAAGGACAGGGGAATTCCCTTCACGGAAATATACTTCAGAGGGAGCTGGGCTGAAACCAGCTCATCACCACGGGAGGGATTTGGCCATGGCCCATCTACTGCAGGGCATGCCCTTTATGTGGTGGAGTGGGTGGGGTGGGCATCTGCTAGGTCCCAGCCATAGCCTCCTGTGCTGGTCCAGGGCACAGCCCCCGTCAGCCACGTCGCCCACCTGCTGATAGCAGTAGACAGGAATATGGAGAGCCAGAAATGCCAGGACTGTGGAGTCAAAGAGCCCTGGGGTCCAACTCTAAGGTGACATGACCACTTTTTGTGTGACCATAGGGCATGTTCTTTAGACTCTTGGAGCCTCTATCCTATATAATAAAAGGGCAATATGCAAATTGACCAAACTGTGGAATGACTGGTCACTATGACACACACTGATGACCAGGGGGCAGACGCTCAATGCAGGAGCTGCCCCCTGGGGGTCAGTGGGCTCCCACAGGGGATTGTGGCTCAGCCAGAAGCTGGCTCACAGCTGGCGAGTGCAGTGGTGGTGGCAGGAACCTCTCCTGCCTTCGCAGGGCTAAGGATGTTCGATTGATGGCTTAGGCCCACTCCCCACAGCAGGCCTAAACAGTCAGTCAGACATCCCCTGAGGGCTCCTGAACTATGAGGGGGTGCAGACTGGGCTGAAGGACAGCCTCTCCTCGAGTGCACAAATTTCATGCACCTAGCCTTTAGTTTATAAATAATGATAGTTGTTACTTTTTATTGTGCTCTTACCGTGTGCCAGACAATGCATTAAGTATTTATCCCATCTGACCTTTTAACCCAGGAGACACCCAGTTGGGGAAGCAGAGGCCACAGAGATTGAGGGACATGCCAAGATTACGTAGGAAGAGCCAGGATTTAAAGTCTGCTTGGCTCCAGGTGGCTTGATGGCTTCTCAGATCTTTTCTAGCTCTAATTTGTACTAATCTAATAATAACTCGCATGTAAATACATTCTGTTGTTCCCAAAGATTAGACAGTTGATAAGAGAGCAAGCTCTTGAACTAGCCTGAATGGGTTCCCATCGGCTGTGGGATAACCTCCCCCAGACTCTGACCTTTCATCTATACAATGGGCTGCTGTGAGAATTCAGTGGAATGATGCACATAAGGTTCTCAGCATAAAGTAAGTGCCCATGAAAGTTTTCCCTGTCTTCGTTTCTGGTTTGATCTGGCTTCCTTTAAAATTCTTCTCTAGCAATATCTCTTTTCCCCATCTACAATGGTGGTCCTTAAGTTATGTTTCACAGACTAGGGTCCCTTGGGACAAAATGGGGAGATGAAGGCAGGGCTGCATCACAGAGCTGCTCTGCTGTTATCTGTTTTGTATTCTGGAATTAGGCAAATGTTATTGAGAAAGAGGGTTTCCCTACTTCATTTCTAGGAAACACATAAACTAAATGGAGGAAATGGAAATGAGAAACTAAAATTTAAAACCTAAAATTTCTATGCTGTCTATTTCTTATGTTCTAGTCTAACTATAGGCTCTAAAGGTAAGACTTGGGATGGGCAGCAGTGGGACAAGGTTCTGGTACAATCTTTATTCCAACCCCTTTCTCCATCATCCCCTGGATCCACATGGACATTAAAACCTCCAGGTGATCTGGTTAAGAGTATCAACACCTAGGCCCATCCCACTATGGCTGACCCAGGAGCTGTGGCTGAGCCGGGTGTAACAAGCTCTTTGGGTAATATCCATTCAGATGTTCAGAGTGTCATCCTTTGAGAAACATTACTCAAAAACACGGGGGACGCGAGGGTACTTCTCTCCAAAGCATTTTTAAACTGTTAATGATGCTCAGGGAATGTTGGCTAAGAAAAACCTTATGTGGGATTCCCATACATAGAACATACAAGCGGAGCCCCCCCCTCCCCTCCCGTCTCCTCCCCCGCATTGGAGTGGATTCTACAGGAGCACAGGTTAAGACCAACCTTGGACTTCTTCCTCATTGAGAGCCCACAGCGCCTCCTTGTGGACAGTGTGATAAAAGACAAACAGTTCCCTCTGGGCTGAAGGACCTCCATCACCTGGAGACATCTCCAAGGAGTCCTTGCTGCAGTTCTCAACCCAGGAATCCCTGTTTCCCTTTGCTATCTGACACCTAGCAGCTTAGTCTGCATGTAGCTCCGGATCTTCCTGGCATATTCTAACCCCCTCCACACTTGATCCAGCCATCCTCTATTAACATGACATCTCACGCCAGAGGACCTCCGATAATCCCCTCGCCTCCCGTTTCGACACAACACACATTCTGTGCAATGACATCTTGCCCTGGATCGGCCTTTCGCTATTTCTGGGATTCATGAGACATCCATGTAAATACACCAACGTTAGACTGTACACTTCTTGGGGCCAGAACCCCACCTTCTCCCTCCTTCGTGTGCTCCTGATTCAGTATTTGAAACACGGCCACACCCAATCTACACCCCCTGAGTGAACGGGTGACTGCACAGAGCCTTACACATCCCCTCCATCACCAAAAAAGGAATACAGCCAACACACTCCGTATCTGGCTTTTAAGTTCTTGTTTCAAGGCTTTTGGAAAATGTTTTAAAAATATGCAGTTCTAGGGTTTAGAAGGTACATTTCAATCCTGAGCTTTTCTGCAAAGCAAGGCCAGGAAACACAACCTCTGCATTTTCTTCTTTTAAAATCCTAAGCCTACACAGCCTCCTGCAGGCCAGTGGGAGGAGGACTTGCTCCCTCTGCAGATATTCAGTCTACATCTATCCAGTTCTACCCACGTAATTACATTATTCCTACCCTTTCTTCCTGATCTCATTTCCACAGATACAAACTCACTTTTTGTCTATATTGTCTGCCATTTTAAGTTTAAAATTCACTATTGATTTTTTTTTTGGGGGGGGGGGGAGCAGAGTGAGGTTAATTATCTTCACTTTTCACCTGTGGGTTTTTACTTTCTACTGTGGTTTCACACACCCTGCTCCAATAATGTGTTCTACTTACCTCCTATTCCTTACACCATAAACCTCTTCTTACTCCAGACTCTAAGCCTTGCGTTCCTTTTTGTTCCATAGCCACACCCCTCCTGCTTCCCTGAATCAATGTGCCGTCGCATACATCTGACAAGCTGCCTGGTTTTTCTTCCGTGACTCTCTTTTATACAAATCAACAAGGAGTTGCTGAATTCTGCTTTCAAATTCAACCGGAGGCTGTCTTTCGTGATTTATGAATCCAAACGGGGTGTGTTGGCGTTAATCGTGATCGATTTTCTTTTATGGACCTGCTTAATGCTTCTTTGTGCTCTCTGTTATCTTTTATTGCATGAAATACTCGGCTTTCTTCTACCTCGAGAAACATTTGGACGATACACACAGTCTGTTTTCATCCTGTTAGCAAGCAGATCGGTGAAACTGGCTCAGGAACCGAGGCTTCTTGGGTCCTACTTGGCTTTGTAAAGTCCGTGTGTGCTTCCTGTCAACAGCTTCTACCCTGTGATTAGCGGTCCCTCCCAGAGAAGGACGAGGGCGTCTGACTTTGGTTACCACTCATGTTCACATGTTCACAGGGCCCTGTGCTCTGGTGGGATGACACTAACTGCTCCCCAGGAGGCCCGGTGGGGCCAGGGGATGGGCTCCTCCATCATGCTTTGGGCGCTCACCCACTCTGCCTCGCCACTTACCTTCTACTGCTGAGTGTTTGGAGCCTTTGTGTTGGCAGCTAAATAGCTCAGAATCCCTCCTCCTCCATGTCTGACGCGTTTCTCCATGACTACCAAACATGCTAGCATAAGAGGGTGAGGCAGAGTTCAGTGACGGGCTGTGGGCCCCATCCCCCGCTCTCTGGGCCCGATCCCCTGCCCGGGGCTCAAAGCCCCTTCTGTGCTTGGCGTCGAGCATGGGCCCCCAAGGTCTTGGCTGACCCGGCAGCACCTTAGCAGCCCACCAAGGCCCCGGGGTCCAGGTCGTGGGTGGGCCCTCGGTTCTCCTACCTCGAACTGGATCAGCACCGTCCCACTTTCGAGGCCCTTCTTCAGCTGTTCCATGGAGCCCTCCAAGGTGTCGGCACCCTCCGGACACTCAGGGAAAATGGCCTCCGGGAAGAGCTGGTTCAGGTCATCTTCGGATTTGATATCCACCAAGGAGTGGACAGCTGCAGGGGACGAGAAAGGGTGCGTCTGGCTGTGGGCAAAGCTCTGGGGATCAGTTTCTTCCCCCCAAATTTCCCTTAAGACACCTGGATGCAGATGACTTAAAACATCTCATCCAATGATTACGCACAGCCATTTTCACCAAAGATACGACTTCTTGTCGAATGATTATACGTGTTGATTACACAAAACGACATGCTATTGTGGTTCGTTTATGATGGTGTGTGGTACTCAGAGGCTTTTGACAAAAGTAAAAGCAAGGGAAAGGATGCTTTCATAGAAAACGTATCTTCTCTCTTTGCTCTCTCTGACCTGGTTCTCGTACCCATCCCTCACCTCTTCTTGGTTCCTTTTCATTTGATCCCTTAAAACAGGCACTTTCCCAAGCCCCGGTATGAGGTCTGACATGCTATCCCCATGGCACCATCATCCCGCACAACTCAGCCAACCTAACTGATGGCCATTTTTAGGTGGGAGGCTCCCACGTACACATCTCAAGTCCTAACATCTCTACGGCACTTCCTGCCTACCACGTCCGTTCGAATCCGCCCTGCATGGCAGGCTCCATATGAATAAAAATAACCGCGGCCCCCACAGCCCCACGGGCACAGTACTTGCCCAGCCTCACGTGCCTCTTTCCACCGACTGCCGCCTCCTTCTCCAGTCTCCCACGTGGGGAACGTCAGCATCATCTCTGGTTTTTCTCTTTCTACTCAGAAGGGGATGCTACTCCCTCACTCAAAAGCCTTCACTGGCTCCCTCCTGCCCTCAAGGTACCAGGAAAGACGAGGAGAGCAACAACTTGCACTTTTCTCCACAGACTTGGACCGGATCCTTATAATGCTGAGCACGAGTCACTATTCCCGTTACACAGATGAGGACACTGACTCGCAGGGCAAGTAAGTTGTCCGGCGTTGTCAGGGCGAGGCACAGGGATTTGGTCCATGTCGGTCTGACCCTGAAGACCACATTTTTTTTCTCTCATCAGAGAAACGCGGCTCTTCCATTGCTTTCGTGACTTCTGTCCTATCGGCTATTCCTTAGGCTGGTTTCTTATTTCTCTTTGAATCGACTCCTATGTTTTCATTTAAAAACTAAACTTGCCGTGACTGTTGTAAGAAAGCAGTGGCGCTGCCCTTGTGGTTGTAACAGCCTATGGACATCCGCCTTCCTCACCTCACACGGGCCAGAGTGCTGTCCCGCTGGCTGCCGCTGAGGGCAGCACCCACGGACGCACGGTGTGGCCAAGGGCCTGCTCCCCATCGCTGGCTCCTTGGTGCCCTATTATCTTGCAGCCACACCAGCCACACTACAGCAGGGCAAGTTACTTCGCCTCTCTGTGACTCCGTTTCCCCATTTCCTCACTTGCAGATAATACTAACATCATAAGAACCGAAGAGGATAATTAGTTAAAGCCATTAGCACAGTGTAAGGCACTTCTCTGGCGCTCCACAGACATCAGCTGCTACCACAACTGAATACCTACTGTGCGCAGAGCAGGGTGCTGGGATTTGGTGGGGCAGGATGGGGTGGAAGAGGGTAGGTATGAATTCAGAGGATCTGATAAGGCCTCATGAGGAGGGGGGAGGAGAGCTGACACCAGACAGAGGGCTGGAAGTTTCAGTGGGAACAGAGAGAAGCAGGTGTGTGTGTGGGGCTGGGAGGAGGGGCCGGTGTAGGGAGGGAGCGGCTGTGACATTCACCCTATAAGACCAGAACAGAGATGAGCGCTGCCGAGCCAGGGCTCTGAATCACACACTGAGCTTTCCTTCAGCGTATCAAAGCCAGGCCGAAGCAGTCAAGGTCTCGGCTTATTGTTCTGTAGCAACAACACCAGGAACAGGGACGGTGCTCACAGGAGCCGTCCTGCCAACGCCCACCACACGGGCGGCATGCCAGGCGCTTTCCAGTACAAGTGCCATTCAGTCTCCACGAGGACCCCGAGGCAGGGCTGCTCTTATTGTCCTTGTGTTACGTTGGGGCAAGAAGCTCGCTCAAGGCCCCTCGGCAGTAGGAGGCAGCTGAAGGAGGCAGCTGGAGGAGGCGGAGTGAGAACCACTCGAAGGCAAACCAAATGCACAGGAATGACATGTAACCCGATCCTTCCAGAAAGGGCTGGGATGCAAACGCCTGCAGGGCCAGGCAGTTAAGAGAGGAGTGTGCGGTGGGCTCCCTCGGCCTGGGAGGACTGGGGGTCACGCCCCGCGTAAAGGGGGTGCCATCTCCGGAGGACTGGCCAGAAGGGCCAGGCGTCTGTGGTTAGGTCTCCAAATTTCTCAAGTGAGAAATCACACATCCCGGTTGTTATAGGAAAGTTCCTGATTTCTGTTGGCCGCAAGCACAACATTTTCAAAACCACGGGAGGACCAGGCCGGGCCCCGCCTGGCACGGGCGGCGTCCCCGGGCTGCTCCCCGCGGGAAGGCGGCCGTTACCTTTCCTCCGGATGACCAGGGCCAGCTCCCGCGTGTGGGACTCCCGGCTGGCTTTGATGAACATCACCACCTGGTCGTGGGTGTGCTCTGAGATGTCCCGACCGTTGATTAACACGATTTGATCCCCTTCGTTCAGCTTCGGAATGCAGGTGTCCGCCTGCAGGGAGGGAAGGCGAGTTTGTCCGGTTACCATGGCATAGCCCTCAGGGGAAGGCCGCCGCCGCCATTGCCGCCGCCGCCCGGGGCCCAGACACCTGAGCCCGTGGTCAAGTTCTCCTTCCCTCCCGCCAGGATTAGCGTCATTATTTTTACATCCACTGCGATGATGACATGGCAGCTGGTGGGGGCAATCTGACAACGCGCTGCTCAGAAGTCAAGTTATGAAACATTCCAGCATCAGGCTGAGACAATCACGGAGCCACCTTCCCCGATTAATGCAACGCAATGGCTATGACGCTTCCGATCGTCCGTTTTCTAGCTGGGCTGTCTGAAAAACGGTTTGTCAGCTGAAAGTGAGTTTTCACTCGTCGTGCAATGGAGAGACTATGTCAGTATAACACCCAGGGCAGAAGCCATCACAGAGAGAAGCGAGGCACCGACCAAAGGAAAATAAAAGCCTTCGTCCCTGACACGGGCCAGAAGCAGTAAGAAAAACTAAGGCGCCAGCTTACAGGCCCCTTCAGAGTCAAGTCCCCATCCCCGTGCCTTCTTAGGAGGTGTGAGGACTCTGGTGCCCACTGCTTTACAAAAGCACATGATCTGGCCCGGCTGGTGTGGCCCAGTGGTTGAGCATCGACCCATGAACAGGAGGTCATGGTTCAGTATCCAATCAGGGCACATGCCCAAGTTGCAGGCTCAATCCCCAGTGGGGTGTGCAGAAGACAGCCCATTAGAGATTCTCTTTCACTCCCTCTCTACCTTCTTCTCTGAGCACATGATCTGCTGAGAAGGCTGAGACTGAGGGCTGAGGACAGGGTGATGAAAGGGGCGCAGGTCCCATGTGCCCCCTCAGAGTGAGCAGACCAGCAAACTGTGCCTCCGTTTCCTCCTCTTGAGCAGCACTTCTCAATTTCAGTGTGCACACCAATCACCTGGAGAGCTTGTTAAAAATGCAGATGCTACCCGGCCGGTGCGGCTCAGTGATGGAGCGTCAACCTATGAACCAGGAGGTCATGGTTTGATTCCCAATCAGAGCCCATACCCGGGCTGTGGGCTCAATCCCCACTGTGAAGTACACAAGAGGCAGATTCTCTCTCGTCACTGAAGTTTCTTTTTTTCTCTCCCTCTTTAAAGTCAAAGAATTCTGTTAGATTTTTGGGGACAACAAAGAGGGATATGTTTACTTACAGGCGACTCTGGGTTTATCCTCGACACCACAAGAGGCATCTTTTGATCCACTCCTCCCTGTAAATATGTGAAATAAGTAACAAAACAGCCGCGTGAGCAATTCACAGCAACCAAGACACGTAGCTCTCTCTGGCACCGGGAAGGGGGCCGGCCTCACGCGATCCTGTTCTTAATCCAGGGACCAAGCCCTTTCTGAATCACAGGTTCCTGAGCCCCCTGGGTAACGAAGCAGAGGACGGCTCAGAAGCTTCCACTGCCACCCCCACGTTCCGTGAACTTCAGGTGCACTCGGAGGAAGCAAGCTCCTTTCAAAACATGCAAATAGCTCCAGGAGGAGGACTCCAAAAACACGGCCTCTCAGAGCTGCTGTACAGGGGGTTTCAGTGGAGGAGACGGAGCCACAGACAAGGCCACATGCCACAGGTCCTGGGCAGGGCTCCTGCGGTACATACAGGAAAGAGCGGGGCTGGGTAACTTCTCTTCCAGAGGACCCGAGAGCACTGTACACGTTAGGCTTTGTGGGACAGAAGGTTCTGTTGTGAAACCTCAACTCTGTCACCGCAGTGCCCGCTGTAAATGAATGCAGTGGCTGTGTTCCAATAAAACTTTATTTGCAAAAACTGCTGTGTTTTGGCCCTTAGGCCATAGTTTGCAGACCCTGCCTGGAGGCAGGCACAGGAGGGTAGTGGCCCTGCAAACGGACCTTCCCTTGAACATAGTTCTCTTATTGGCTTAGCAATGCTGGGGGCTCTCTTAATCACCCCTCTACAAGGGGTACATCTGCTTGCCAACTGTGGGCCCTCCTCCCTCTGAGCCTTAGTGAGCATCTATAAAATGGGGTTAAATGCCAACTGCACTGATTAGAACTCAGCTAGGTGATAGAAGTGAGTACAAGGCCAACACCAAGCACAGCACAGGCACTTGGCGTGAGGCAGCAGCTATGGCCACATAAAAACACCCCTGATACTGAGTGGAGCCAGCGTCCTTATGCAGCCTCAGGTATGCGGCCCGCTTCCAATGGAGATGAAGTCCACTGGGAATTAAAAAGTCATCTACAGATGGCTGCAGAGCCCCAAATCCTCATACACACGTATGACGCACCTTCAGATTGAATCCAAATTTTCCATCCTCATCTGGCGTGATGCGGATCAAGATTAAGTAGCCGTCCCCATTGTCATTCTGGAAAACGTTGGGAAGTGGTCAGTTAGGTCACTTCCCTCTCCACCAGGTGCCGCTGCACCAGGGCAGGTCACCGGTGCCTGAGCACCGTGGGGCCTGGGCTCGCTCACCTTGTCGCAGTAGTACTGGCTGGAGTCCTCGGTGGAGCCCCCTTTGGTCACCCTGTGGAAGTCCTCTAAGAACTGCTGGTCCACGCCATCTGGGGAGCAGGAGCCCGGAGCGTTTGAAGACGGAGACACAGAGCTGGATGACTTCCGGGTCGGGCAGCTTTGTGCTGGGTTGCTCTCGGATACGCTCCTTCATTGTGGGGGAGGAGGAGACGTTTTAGTCACTGGATTCATATATGATCAGAGCAAACATTACTGACTATTTGAGGCCTGACACCCCCCCAGTTGTCACGAACCCTTGCAACCTTAGAGAGCTCCAGAGGTCAAGCTCAGGGCTCTGGTACTCCATTCCCCACAGGCCACCCTGGTCCCCATCTGGCCTAAATGTCACCACCTGTAGTTTGGGGGAAGGAGGCAAAAGAACAGGGCAGATCTCAGCTCCCTTCCCAGATGCATGAGAAGGTGACGGGGAAATGGGCCAGCTACTCAGATGCATGTCTCCATCCTTCCGAAAGTCTTTTCCTTCTCTCTCAACCCAAAGCAAATGGGACTAATGTTGCATATTCAGGGCAATTTAGATTAATCCTACTTTGTGTTATTTGCCCGTGACTCCAGTAGTTGTCCATGCTGAGATTATATGCTTTACTGTTCTCTAACATGGGTCTTTCTGTATCTTAGAGCTGCAATGTCCAAAATGGTAACCACCAGTAACACATAGCTATTTACATTTAAATCAATAGAGATTAGAAATTTCTTCATTTGTAACAGCACATTTAAAAAATGATCAATAGCCCTGCTTGATGAGTTCAATGATTAGAGCATTGGTTAGACCTTGTGCACCAAAGGGTCTTGGGCTCGATTACTGGTCAAAGACACATAACTAAGTTGCAGGTTCAATCCCTGCCCTAATTGGGGCATGTGCATGAGGCAATCAATCAATGTATCTCTCTCACATCTCTCATTTCTCTCTCTTTTTCCCTCTTCTCAGCTTCCTCCCTTCCTCTCTCTCTAAAAACCAATAGAAAAATATATCCTCTGGTGAGGATTAAAAAATAAATTGGGGCCCTAATTGGTTTGGCTCAGTGGATAGAGTGTCAGCCCGTGAAATGAAGGGTCCCAAGTTCAATTCGGTCAAGGGCATGTACCTTGGTTGTGGGCACATCCCTGGTAGGAGGTGTGCAGGAGGCAGCTGATTGATGTTTCTCTCTCATCGATGTTTCTAACTCTCTATCCCTCTCCCTACCTCTCTGTAAAAAGTCAATAAAATATATTTTTAAATAAGTAAATAAATTGTGGGGGGGAAGGTCAATAATCTCATGAGGCTAATAGTTCCTATTTTGAACAAGCAAAGTTATAAAATATTTCCAGCATCACAGGAAGTCCTGTCTTGGAGAATTACAGACTGTTAGAACTAAACAAGCTTCTATGTTCACCGGGTCCAACTCCCCCTTGACAGATGAAGTAACTGTTGTCCAGAGATGCTGAGTGGCTGGACCAAGGTCACACAGCTTCCCCCTCACTTAATAGACAGATGTCTGATGGCATCTCTTTCTTCTCCAGATTATGCCAAATCTGCTCCTATGCGCCCTCCACACCATTCCCTCCCACCCAGCCCTCCAGCACCACAGTCTCTAACCCCGAAGGGCTACAGAGAGTAACCATCTCAGCCGTCACTGTTTAGGACACTCAACTTCTCTGCATCACACCCCCCCCCCCACTAGACCCCCTCCAGAGCCACAGGCCTAGCAAAAATGCCTTAAAAATCCTACAGAATACAGGATTTTCCTCTTGCTCTATATACAGGGTTAGTGATGGGAGAGGTGAGTAGATGAAGACAGTCAGTGAAAGAGACAAAAGATAGTAGTGGCTGTCTCTTACTAAATCATTATTTCAAGCCCTTATCTGCGAATTTTTCATTAAGTTAGGGCTTCTCTGTTTCCTAGAAATTTCAAGTTACCTTACTTTAACTACAAAATCAGTATCCTATTCAATTTATTGAGTCACAATTCCAATTTATTGGAATATAAAAATTCAATTACAGACCAGTGTAGGAATATACTAGTAGCTACAAGCAAGAGACGAGTTTGGCCCTATGGGTTTTCAAGTTGAAGGAAAGGTATTATGGATGGAAAGGTGTTTCAGACAGGATCTTTTAAGACCGAAACTGTAGATAAGTAGTAAGTTTTCAGACTAAAAATGAATGAGACTTTAATTTATGTAAGACCACAAAAAATAAGAACAAAAATAAATCTCTCCCACAAGTAGGGCAACTTGCCTACATTTTCATGTTTACAAGAGCACCCCCTAGTGGCAGACAGGTTTAGGAAACCCTATGTCCTGAACTTGCAACAGGAAGAAGATGCAAGCAGCACACCCACTACACACGTGTGGGAGACTCTGGAGGGTGACAGCGATGGAAAGGGTGAAGGACATGCAGACAAAGAAACAGGTGAGCGATGTGACAAAGCAGAAGAGAACAGACAAAGTCAGTAAAATTCTCATGTATTTTACAGTCGCTCTTTTTCTAAAAATTTTAATGTGTGGATGACATCATCCAACGTTTTAAAGTACTTTTCCTTTCGGCATAAAACAGCCCACAGTGCTCAAAAGAATACACTCAAAGCCATGCTGTGTCCCATCCTGCTTTCTAAGTAGGGTCATAGAGGTAACTTTCATTAAGCATGTGACGGCAGCTTTTGGCTGATCCACGGTGTGCAGACGATCGCCTGCAGGCTGCAGGGACGTTCTGCTCAGCACGGAGGATGAAAGACAGATGGTGAGGAGGACATCAATAGCAAGGAGCGCTGAGACCGTGGCAGCTGGATGCAGCACCGGAATGCCAGGAGTGAAGATGCCAAACCAGGCTGGCTTCCTCTCTCCTGGGGCAGGATGTGCTTGCTAACGAGGGAGGGAGAGCCTAGTGGGTGAGGAGGGAGCGGTGAGGGGAGCTGTGGGTGGAGCCAGGGCTCCTGGGGAAGGGGTAGGATGAGGGAAGTAAGAAGAGAGGGCGGCTGGAGGAAGCAGGCAGGAGACTGGGGCTGGAGGAGGGAGCAGAAGCAAAAGGTTTGTCCCTGAGGCAGGAAGGGGACATCTGTCAGAGGAGGAGGGACAGGGAAGGGGGACTGCCGCTGCCCTCTGGGATCCAGAGTAGCCAGGGAGGGGCTGACCAACCAGCTCCCTGGGGGGCAGGCAGATAGCCCTCAGCCGTAGCACTGTGAATGTTTCAGGCTTCAGCAACAAAAGCCATGGCGGCGTTCTTTCCTCTGAAGAAGAGCAATGTTAGAGAGTGAAAATGGCAGGACTGCCCATGAAGAAAAGAATCCTGTGTGGTGCTTCCCTCACCCCTCTTTCATAAAAGAATCCTATGTGATGCTTCCTCACCCCTTACCCTTGAGACAATGACAAATACCTCTACCCCCAACCTGTGCTCCCACTGAGGGTTCCGCGGCCCTGACTCGCTATGGCGGTGGGACAGGTGGGACATAACGGGGCCATTTCCCGTCAGGTTTCTCTCCGAGTCTCTGAGCTTCTTTCGGTCGGGAGAGACCCCAGATCTCTTTCGGTTCCTGGCTGGGTGCACGTAAGGCTCGGCCAGGCACGCAGAGCGCGCTCCATGAAGACGCTGGGTGAACGAAGGAGAAAATGCCTCTAATGCGGTTCCCGGGGCTCTAGTGGAGTTCTCTCGAACCCAGGAAGCTCAGTGAACAGAGAGGGTGGGTTCAGCAGCTCTCAGCCTCTGTAAGATCAGAGCTCCCGAGAATGCCACAAGGTTCTCCTTAACATGCAGGCTCCGCCTCGGCAGCTCTCTCTCTTTTGAATAAAGTTCCTGGAAGAATGTGTCACACGGATCTCACACAAGGCCACTGAGTAACAAAAAGATCAGTGTCTGAAGTCTGGGCTCTTGTGATTTGGAGACATTCTGAACATGCCATTCTTATCTTGGCAATGACCCAAGGGCGGGACAGCTCAGTGCAGGGAAAATGAATGCAAAACTCCTAAGGAAACCCTGCTGCTAGCTGCTCTCTGAGGGAGACACTTAGACGGGGTCCAGATCCTGCCACCATGTTCAAATCTGATGCCAAGAGTGGAGAGTGGCTGAAGGCACCTGAGTAGTTTAATTTAAAGGACAGTGCGTGGGGCTGTCAGGTAGGACTGGAAACAGACACCCTTTGTGGTGTCCTGGGAACTTGAGGCAGAGACCGATGAATGTTCTGGGTCACCGCCAAGGAGGAGGCGCTGCCCAACCTCGGAACAGGCTGCCAGCCTGCAGGAGGGCTCTCCATCACCAGGTGACAGGGCCCGGGGGATTCCTACACGGCTGACGTGGCTGAGGAGCGGGATTGCCTAAGTACCTTCCAATGCACAGAAATTGTCTAAAATTTTTTTTCCTCCCTTCCCTTGTAAAAGCAAATTTTAAAATTGAACAGTGGTGCCGAAACCGGTTTGGCTCAGTGGATAGAGCGTTGGCCTGCGGTCTGAAGGGTCCCAGATTCGATTCCAGTCAAGGGCATGTGCCTTGGTTGCAGGCACATCCCCAGCTGGGGGTGTGCAAGAGGCAGCTGATCGATGATCCTCTCCCATCCATGTTTCTAATTCTCCCTCTCTCTTCCTCTGTTAAAAAATAACAATAAAAAATATTTTTTGAAAAAATCAATAAAATATATATATTTTAAAAAATTTAACAGTGGTAAATGCACACATAACATGTATTATCGTCACCATGCTTCAGTGCAGCAGCACTAAGGGCATTCACATGGTGTGTGCACAGAAGCTCTGAAGTAAGAAGGAACAAGACAGCTCTGAAGAAACAGACGAAGAACAACAAAGGCCCCAGTGACTACGGAAAGCCCGGCACACTCTGAGAGCGTCGCCTCTGGCGATCCAATCCTTGGGAAAAACAATAGCAACGTTCTTCACACGCACCCTGCATCTGCCCACAAACTTGCTTCCCTCCAGTGTCTGCTCGGCAAAGCCATTTTCCCTTTAGGGGAGCTCCCCTCCCGTTTTTCTGGGTGGTGGGTGGTTAGTTTTGGTTTTACTGCCACGAAGGGACACTCCCTTCTCTGCAGATTGTGGCCTTCGCTCTGAAACAAGGAAAGGAAGGCAGGAGCCTGGGGAGGAACGCCCAGCCAGCCCACTTGAGCACAAGGCAAACTGCCAAGGATGGGGATCTGTGACCCCAAACTTCGCCCGAGCTGCTGTGAGCAAGGACAGGCCGGCGGGGACTCCTCCGCCTGGAGAGCGCTCAGAGACCCTGAGCTGTGCCACCGAGTTTCCAGCTGGAGTCTAGCTGCTCTTTTTCTTCCTTTCTCTTTCTGCTTCTTGCTGGAATGGGTACAGAACATTACATTTCATTCTGCTTTCTAAAAGGAGCCCTCCTCGCTGCCTGTGATAGTATTCATTGGATTTCTCTGACAGAATCCTCCTTTTTGCCTCTTAACACAAATCTGCTGTATTAAACATGTCAAACGCTTCTTAAACATTTTGCAAATACTCACTGAAATAACCACAGTTTTTTCCCCACTCAGTACAGCTCAACCTTCCTTTCTTGCCTGGGGCAACAGAGAGCCCCCACCCCCTGACACCCAGGGAGGCCAGCTTGCCCCTGAGGACTCATCAGCCAGAAGGGGTCCCCCACCTAACTGAGGAGGTAGGGGCTGCAGTGTTTCAGCTGTTCACCCCACTGGCAAAGTGCAGCGGCTATGTGACTGGGAGACATCTGCTGTCAGTGCACCTGGCCAAGCCCCAACAAGGAAGGCTGCCTTTGAATCATGGTTATTTGCAACTTTTTAAAAAATATATATATGTTTTTATTGATTTCAGAGAGGAAGGTAGAGAGAGAAAGAGGTAGAAACATCAATAATGAGAGAGAATCAGTGATTAGCTGCCTCTGCATGCCCCCCCACTGGGGATCGAGCCTGCAACCCAGGCATGTGCCCTTGACCAGAATCAAACCCAGAACTCTCCAGTCTGTAGGCTGACACTCTATCCACTGAGCCAAACCGGCTAGGGCGCTACTTTTAACATTTAGCTGCAGAATGAAAAAGTGCCCAAGAAGGACACATCTTCCAAGGTCTGGTGGGAGAGTTTCAGAAAGAATGGATGTGCAATGGGTAGGGGTGAGCAGGGCCAGCAGTGTCTTAAACAGGGCTGGAGGAAATGCATTTGAAATTTAATTTAAATTACAACAGCCGTATGTGGTAGGGGGCTCCTGGACTGGACTGCTGAAGGTCTAAGATGCTCTGCAATTCCATGATGTGACTGCAGACCAGAGAAGGGAAATCTGATGCAGGACACAGAATTCTCAGAACCTTCAGACAATTCCCCCAAATCCCTTCTCCTTTCAGCAAAGCCGCAGACCCCCAGATTGCGATGATGAAGGATGATCACGTGCCATTTGCCCCGCTTGCCTGGAGGCCCCTGAAGGTAGAGATCTGTCTAATTTGTCTCGATGTTTCCTCAATGAGCCTCGAAGGGAGTATAAAGTGTGCTGATGGATTAAAACTTCCCCACTGCCCAGCTGGTGTAGCTCAATGGTTGAGTGTCAACCTATGAACCAGGAGGTCACGGTTTGATTCCCGGTCAGGGCACATGCCTGGGTTGTGGGCTTGATCCCCCGTAGGGGTTGTGTAGGAGGCAGCTGATCAATGATTCTCTTTCATCATTGATGCTTCTATCTCTCTCTCCCACTCCTTTCCTCTCTGAAATCAATAAAAATATATTAAAACAAAAAACAAATCAACAAACAGAAACCCCACCCCCACAGCACTGGACCGAGTTCCTCTCCCTGCACCAGGCACTGAGCGGTGCCGTTAACAGCTCTTCCTGTGATGATGGCAACAGACTTCCGCTGTGGCGTCCAACACGGTGGCCACAACCTACACGTGGATCTTGAGCCCTTGAAATAAGGATGTGCGACGGAGGCACCCAACTTAAATTTTATTTTCCTTTAAATGATTTCAATTGGAATACCCACATGTGGCTAGCGGCTACTGGACTGGTCAGGGAAAGTCTAACTGCTCCACAATTCCATAACGAGGCTGCAAACCGCGGTGGGAAGATCTAACACCAGGCTCTGCCTGGGCTTCCCAGAGCCCCCGTCAGGTCCCCAAACCCTCCTTCTCCTTTGGGCAAAGCGACAGAAGCCCACTGCAGACGCAGACCAGGGGGAGTGATGCCTGCCTGCACGTGCATCTCTAGATCGGCAAAGGCGGGGTCACACCGAGGAAGGTACCCGCTTCCACGGCAGCCTCACCAGGCCTGCAGTTGGAGCAAGAGATAGTGATCATTTCAACAAAAGCATTGTCCAAGCTCTGGGCCACAAGGAAATAATGGCCAGAGGGATTATTTAACAAGACGTGTTAAGAACACAGATAAGCTGGAAACTGTGACTGCCGTGGTCCGGGACAGCAGAGCGGCAGCAGCCGCACGCATACGTGGGAAACGAGATTTGCAATTCACTTGTGAGGCCTAGAGGACAATCAGGCTGCATTTAATGCTTATAACTGGGAGCTGGGGTGGTAAAAAGTTACCCATGAACTGAAATGCCTCCGTGTGAACCCTACGCTGTCGGGGGAGGCACGATGTTCATATGTGAGGGTTAGCAGAGGACTTCACAGATTGGATACCTGTGGCCATGGCTGCCTAGGTGACCCCATCCCACTTTAGCTTAAGATGCCATTTCGCTTCTTTAGGACCTGTATCTTTCCCACTTCAGAAAATGGTTTGAGACAGCTGACCCTAAAATGTACAGATATGGCAGAACTGTGCACTCATTGAAACGAGAGAAAAAAAAATAGAGCCCATTAATAAGCAAGGAAGAGTAGGACTCTCTCAGAAACCTGGGCTAGGGGAAGCCAACTCCGTTGAGCATATGGAGCTCTGAGCTTCCTGGGAATCAAGTCAAAAAGGGAACTAGCATATACGATACATCTTAGTGAATGATAATAGGACTCAAGCTAGTATTTCAGGAGAGATCTTTTTCCCGGCCTTGAGAGGAGACGGTCACAGTTAAAAAAGGAGAGTGGGGATATAAAAGAACTTCCTTGACACAAATAGAACAGAAAATCAGAGATGTCCTACGCCTGTTTTTTTGTTTTGTTTGTTTTTTTGTTTTTTAATATTAACTATTCATTAAAGACAAAATGGAAACAAAACCCCAGAGGGCATGCTGTGGCTCTGCGCAGGCTTTCTGTGGAGAGCTAGAAAGAAGCTTGTTTCCAGGCATCTGGAGCCCGGCCGCGGTAAAATCTGACAGTCTAGAGAAATACTACTGTGGTTAACATGTCTGTACCTCTGGGGGATGTGGAACGAGACTGAGCTTTGCTCAGGACAGGGAACAGCTCTGAGAAGTCCAGCCCCAGCCCCCAGGCTCCCAGCCTGCCTTCCAGTGGGCACCTAGGGAGCTGGCTGCAGCCTCCAGCCCTCGACTCTGGCCATCTGGGCCTGGGCAACCTCCCCGACAGTCACCACAAGCAGGTAGAAAGAGAGAATAACCCAATCTCTTACTCTTGGTGTGGGCTCTGGTTCTGAGAAGCCTCCGAATCGCTATCTTTCGGGGAGAGGGAGCCCTTGTAGGTGTAAAACACATCCTCGGTTTCGGTGATGTACGTCATCTCGTTGGCGAGGTTGTCCGCAGAAGAGTGCCTTGGCTTTCGGATTTCATGCCGGAGCCGAGGACTCCGCCTGGGTGGGGAAAAGGTGGAGCATGAAGTGTTGAAAGCAAATCCCACTTGAAATTTTTTTTTTTTTAATCACACACCAGCAATCTGTGTGCCCTGACCTTTGTAAGAATGACTGGGCTGATGTTGTTGCAAAGTAAGAACCTGTTAACCCATTACTACCCTTGAGTCCACCAGGGGCCACAAGGGTCCCCAACACTGTCAGCCCAGCGGTGCAGCCCCCAGACCTGGAGGCTCAGTTCCATGAAGAGGCAAAGGAGATGGCTTATGCCCTTTGGGAAGGCACTGAGCACTGACTTAGGGTTGGCCATCCGTCAAGGAGGACTCAGGTTCTCGATGCATACATAAGAGGCCGTACTGACAGCTAATCAGACAATTTTACTTATTCTCTTGAATAGTAGAAGTAAAAGGTTAAGTCGAAACTCAAACCTTATTTCAACTACTAGCACATCCCTTCATGCAGATTTCACTTGATCCAAGAAGAAAGGTCTGCTCTGTAAAATATAAATATCTCTCTTATGTGGTATTAGATGGACATCACAGCATTATCCTTTTCCTTTGATGGCAGCGGGAGCTGTGTGACCTTAAGCAAGCCATAGCACCTCCCTGGACTTAGCTGTGCCTCCCTGCTCCTAAGAATAAATCAGAAGAGGCAATGTCCTCAGGATGCCAGGTGCAGCCCCTGGGGATCGGCTATTGCAGTGGCGATTCCAGGAACTTAGTTTTCCACGTTATATTTCCCCTCCGCGTTTCCTCCCGCCCCTGGTTAGCCATTTGTCTGTGGGACTGTCAGGGCCTCCACTATCCACAGCCCCCTGGGCCTGGGTAATCAATAACATTGTGTCCAAAGCAGAGTGGAAAGGCTGGTAACTCCATTGGGAGGACCTGTAAACAGCATTAGAGCTCCCCGCCAAGGGAGTGGCACATCAGGCCCAGCGGTTCTCCTGGGTGCCATCCTGGGCCTCTGCTGCCTAAGCTACGCTCAGACAAATTGAGCTAATTTATCGTAAATTTACCTCTTCACACACTGTGTACCAGTAGTTTCATTGCTAGCTTTACCCAGTGGCCAGATAAGTTTCTATTGAACGAGAACAAAAAAACATTTTACATAAATGTTAAAGGCTCGCTTTAAAATTAAATGCCCATTGCATTTTGAAGTTGTTTATTATATGTTCTTACAAGCTAATATCTTTTTAGAGAATTCTCATGACTGGCCACAAGCCTTAGAACAGAAAACACAAGAGTTCTCATGATCCATCCGTAATGTGTTAATAAGAATGTGGGACTATATCTTGGAACCCAAGAAGCAAATCTGCTCAGCCCTGTTATGACTGCTAACAACGAATACCTCATTATCCCTGTCCAGAGCCTTGGGCCCCGGTGGCAGGTCCTCACCCAGAGGCCTGTGAGAATGTCCCTTAGCCCGGGAACTTAAAGGCTCACAGGTCTTTCGTGAAATGAACAGAAAGTCACACTCCTATCCCAGCACGGAGCTGGGGAAATGTTTCCAGATGGGTGTCCCTTCTGCGGCTGACTCAGCCAGGGTGCTGGGGAGGTATTCAAAGAAATCACCTGATGCTTTTGCCGAGGGAAGGGGGGGGGCACTTGTCATATAGTAATAATGATAATTCCACCTCAAACTATGTATTCAGCTTACAAAGCACTGAGGCATTACTTCTTTTGTGGCAATTTTTATAACCCTTTTCTAGTTGGGGTGACTGAGATCAGAGAGGTAAAGAAACTTGTGAAGGAGCAGGCAAGTTAAAATCTGAGCCTGGGTTTTTCAGCTACAAACCCAGTGTCCTTCCCCAACCGGTGCCCAGCTGCCACTTCCTTCCTTTTCCCCAACTCCACCGTCTTAGACAAGGGCAGGCTCCCTTCCCACGGGCATTTGCTCCTGTTGCTGAGGCTCACATGTCCATACATCAGTTCTATCGTGCTCCTGAATCAGGCTACCACAAAATTTCTTCTCTGATGTTAATGGGCAACATGAGATTAGATAAATAAAATCCAACACGCTCTTTATTACAGGACTTGTTAGAACATTAATTGGCTCATGTGCATTTGCATGCCAAGAGGGCATTCCAGCAGGCTGCAGTTCTCAAATCTAGACCAAGTAACTTTTAAAAAGAGAACATCCCGGCATTATCCACCAAGGAAAATGTTAAGCTAGACGTGTGTCTTTCTCCAAAACAGTTTCCTCTGCAGCAGCCAAACCTGCTGATGCAAATTCTATTGTTGGCCATCTTGATTTAGAAATTTATTATTAACTAGAGGCCTGATGCACAAAGATTCATGAAAGAATGGGCCTTCCTTCCTCTGGCTGCCAGTGCTGACTTGGTTCTGGCCAGAGCCGCCATTCCGCCTTTCTGCCTTTGCTCCAACTCGGAGCTGCCTTTCCGCCTTCCCATGCTGCCCAGGGGCCCGAAGTAGCTGGGGTGATGCAGAACACCTGCATCATCGCCATGGCGATGACACAAACATTCCAGCCCCAGCCACTCATTGCCTGTGCATGCAAATTAACCTGCCATCTTTATTGGGTTAATTTGCATACCCACTCCTGATTGGCTGGTGGGCATCACAGAGGTACGGTCAATTTGCATCTTTCTCTTTTATTATTATTATTTATTTATTTACTTTTTTTTTTTTTGAGAGAATGTGGTTACTGGTGAGTAATACAAAAAAAAAAAAAAAAGAAAGAAAGAAAAAAAAAAAAAAAGGAGGACGTACCAGTTGGGAGTAATAGGAGGGGACCGAGAAGGCAGACTCTTGGTTTCTAAATGCTCCACGGATAAGGATCTCCGCATGGCTGGGTTCCAGACCATCCCTCCAATCACCTTTTTGCAATACTGGTTATTTACAGACCTGAAAAACCAGATGCAATTTCACTTTCTACACTGACATATTCAACAAGGAAGACATTACAGTGTAAGTGGAACGCTCTGCACACACTCCCTCCCCAGACCCTGTTGACACTGGCCGAGGTTAGCAGGAGTAGAGGTGCAGGGGTCAGAAGCAATCCTTTTCTTTATGTTATTTTTTCTTTTCTGGTGGAGATCTCTCTCTCCTTTTTTTTTTTTCTTTTTTTTTTTTCTTCTTCTTCTTAATTATAGCACGCAACCTGGGCATGTGCCCTGGCCAAGAATCAAACCGTGATCTCTTGGTTCACAGGCTGATGCTCAACCACTGAGCCACACTGGCTGAGCTGAAGGTTACTTTTGAATTTTATTTGTACCGAGAATTTAAATTTCAGCTATCTAGATCCCTTAGAGAGTGAATTATTTCAGAGGATGAAGTCTGAAGCCAGTTTAGGGGAAACTCAGGTCTGGAATTTCTAGGTTTTAAGTAATGTTTCAATGTTGTATGAAAACAGTCCACACAGTTGTTGCAGCCTAAAACCACCACCAACAACAAAAGAACAAAACCCCAAAGGACACAAACAACACAAAACAGCCCCTGGAATATCTCTGCACTTATTTACTACAAGAAGTGCCATTGTCACCCTCATCGAAATTCGCACAACAGCACTGCTAACCAGAACCTTCAGCAAATTACCACTGACCAGGGCACAGCACCGAGGGAGGGCAACAAGCGGGTGATTCAGAGGTTTAATGTAACAGCTCCCCAAAGAATGCGTCATGCGTTATTAATAGCTACTCTTTGAGGAAAAAAAAAAGTGTTCCATTGTCCCATAAGCTCGGAAAACGTAGATCGAGTTTCTTTTATGTGGACCTTCTCAGGAAGAGGCCTAATATGCAAATGTGTAGATGTATCTCTAGCGGCTCACCAAGGCCTGGAACCTCTCTAAGCCTCAGTTTCCTTATCTATAAAGTGGGGCTGAGATTTCCCAGGACATTGAAGCTGACGCTGGTAGTAAAGAATTGCTGACCTGTGCCCCTGAACCACCGGTAACGTCCCAAGTGACCCCAGTGGCCGGTGAAAGGTGGCTGTGGGTTCTTTGACTCCTGAATCGGGCTGGCCTGTGACTGCTGTGATCTCTGCAGAGCAGCTGGTCACAGCTGTGCCACTTCTGGACCCAGCCTTTACGATGATCAGCCACCTCTGTCTTAGACTCTTGGAGCCTCAGCCCGTGTGTATGAAACCCAACCACCCTGCTGGAGCGCTCACATGAAGAGGGCCTGGGAACACAGAGGGGGCGAGGGGTCCGGGTGAGCCAGCTTGCCAATCACTTCGCCAAGGCACCAGGGGTGTGAGAGAAGTCGCCTTGGACTCTCAGACCAGACTAGCTACCAGCTGCCTGTTGTGGAGCAAAGAACTGTCTGTCTGAGGCTTTCCCAAGTCCTGACTCACAAAATCTTGGGATATACTACCATGGTTGTTGCTTTAAGTTACCAAAATAAAGGTAACTTTTAATGCCACAGTGCACAACCAGATGCCCTCCTCAACACTCTATGCTAACTGCATTTTACAACGAGGACACTGAAGCAGCAATGTAAATGAAAACGGAGGTGGCACAGGTGGATTTTGAGCCCAGGCTGCTTGGCACCAAAGTCCATGCCCTCAGCTGGCCGGAAGGCTTGGGTCCAACTGAGGTAAACACTGCATTCCAATAAGCTGTGCTCATGGCTTGTTCAGCAATACATCTCCCGAATGTGTAAAATACTAGACAGTACTGTAAGAGCTAAAAACTTTGAAGATGCATTTGTTTGTGGTTTACCAGAAGCTGAGAGAGAGCACTTAGCGCCATAAATCCTATCACTCATACTAACAGAAACTTCCTACTTATTGAATCTTTAGTTAGTTAATGATCATCAATGAAACAGGAAAGTCACTGGAGTTGTCTGACACAGCCCCATGTATCAGATACTGGCTCATACAGGGGCAATGTTTAGTTAGCAACAGCCACATCAACAATGCAAAAATCACAAAACCAATTCCTCAAACCAACAAATCATAAGTATAATTGAATTCAGCCAGGGTGGCTCAGTGGTTGAGCCTCAGCCCAATGACCAAGAGGTCCCCAGTTCAATCCCCGGTCAGGGCATATGCCCAGGTTGCAGGCTCGATACCCAGCAGGGGGTTTGCAGGAGACAGCTGATTGCTGTTTCTATCTCTCTATCTCTCTTCCTTCCCCTCTAAAATCAATAAAAACATATATTTTTAAAAAATAATAATTGATAAGCAATTTCTGCTACAGCGTGTACTTAGAAGGCGATCTGAGCACAAATACACAAAAATATATAAAGCATGGTTAGTTTACTTAGAGAATGAACTTCAACTTATATTAAAAGGTAAACATGTAGAGGTTAATTTCTTTTACTCTACTACTTATTACATTCTTTGAATATTCTTCGTGTACATAATAGTACGCATGGGATTATACTTTTAAGAATTAAATATAATTATGTGCATGATACAAAGCAAGCACTCAATAATTACAGCTATAATTTTTACTTGTAATTATAACTGTCATTCCATGATTGTTATATAGAACACATACCAGTCACTTGACTCTGGAAATCTTATTCATTCATTACTACGAAGCATCCCAGGGAATGAATGCTCTGTGGGCAAGGCTGTCTTAGTGACAGCAAGCCAGGGAAGCCCATATGCCAGCTCCGAGGTGACCCTGAGTCACTGCCACATGCTCCCCTTATTGTGACCCGAGGTGAGCGCAGCTGTGAGGCTGGCTGCCTGGGAGCGCGGAGGACAGCAGAGCGGGGAGGCAGGAACAGGCGACGGGAACCTGAGCAGAATCTGAGCATGTGTGGGAAAGAGACACCACTGCCCCCGAAGGGGTGGCAGCCATGGTTCCGAGACCTGTCAGCAGCCGCGGCCCCAGCGCCTGGGGCCCCTGGGTGATGCCATCCCACCCCAGGGGAGCCTGTCCCCTCCCCGGTGGGGACCAGGACGTGTTTACTTCTCGGGTCTGGCCTGGAGACCAGCGTGTACTCACTTGTTGGGGTTCCTGGAGCCCAGCGTCCAGTACTGAGACAGAACATTCTTTTCCTGAGGCAGCAGCTTCTTTGCCTGAAAGAACGTATGGTGCTCGACACAGGATTTCCACAGGGTTTTGCAAGACCGGTAATTTAGCATGTTGAAGGCCACAATGTGATCCCTGGATTCAGGCTGGGAGGAGAAACACAGAAGAGATGTCATCCGCACGGAAGCAGGCGCGGGGCTCGGCATCTCACGCCACACGGGTGGCGGCCACGTGAGACGCGGCAGGCCGCGGTGACTGGCTCCCACGGGCCTCGGCCACAGCCCGGCGGTGCAGGAATGCCCAGATCGTGGGCTCCTTTAACCATCATCTTCGTGGGAAAGGCGACCCGAGCCTACTCTTTGTCGGTATCTGTGGGCCTTCGTGAGCACCTCCCTTTCAGAGGTGCCTGTGTTTCTGGGTTGGATATATTTGGAACAACCAGAAGGGCTGTCGGATACTTTCCTTTGAACATTTAGCTCTGGGCAAACCTCTCCCCGGGAGAGATGACTTTCACCCAGCAGACCACGGAAATAATTTCGTAACACTCTGGATTTCTCCACTTGCTTTTCCATAAAGCAGAGTGAAACAGAGAGCTCCTACAGAACCACCGCTTTAATTATCTGCTTTCCTTCTAGCCTGCCTGAGCTTAGGGTTTGTTTTCACGTTAAAGTACCGTCTTGTGCATTTCTGGGCCACCTTGAATCCTGTGGGGGGAGGAGAGGGAGCCCCAGAGGCTAGTCCTGGTTTTCTCTGGGCTTTTGTGCTTTTCTTTCTAAGTGCTCACTGCCATGGGAAGCCATTCTAGGTCCACACACTCCTTGCAGCACTGGGAAATGGACACGGGGACAGTAAGTGCAAAGCCTGCAGCGGAACCAGAGGGAGCCTGGTACTGTGGAAGGAGCAGCAGCTATGATTTACATCCCAGCCCCTCCCCTTCGTAGTGGGGAGCCTCAGTGCCCTCACTGCTGAGCCCTTCTTCCTCTCGGACAACCAGGCGGAGTCACTGGGAGTTGCTGGCAGGCCGGTCCCCTCTCAGGAGACACGCACAAAGGCCGGCATGCATTTGGGACTCATCAAGGGAAGGGACTGACCCTGCTGACACCTCCTGCTACTCGTCTGCGCCAGGCACTCCAACCAATGCTCTTGTATTTAATCCTCACGATTAAAAATACAAGCAGGCAGTGCTGTGTTTCTGTAAAGAAGGTAACTCGGCTAGGCTAGGGGGAGGCCAGTAACCTGCCGGTTGGTACGTGGATGAGCTAGCCTGAACCCACCGTCTGACTCCAAAGCCAGTTCCCTCTCCAACCAGACAAGCAGCGTGAGTTCTTCAGAGCTGCTGGGTCCTCGGGGCTCCGAGTTCCGTTTTCTTCCCACCTGATCCCTGCTCTTCCCTCCCTGATCTGCACAAGGCAGGCCACCTTCACCCGTGGGAGGAGCCGAGGTGGTGAGAAACGAGAGACAAAGCCAGCGTAGGCAGAACTCACCTGCTTTTGCCGCTGATGTATAAAGAACTTTTTCCTTTTGAAAGAGATTTTTAGGATGTTCACCCTGCGTAAAGGACAAGAAAACACACCAAGAAGGCACATGAGGGATCGGTCGGGCGGTGGCTACCGCCTCCCCAGGGCACAACCTCTGCTCCAGGGGCCGATGACCAGAGTTTACTTCCGTGTAGGCGTGATCACGGCTCCGTCGCCTCGGCCCAACACCAAGCAGCTGACGGAAGCCAGGAGTCACATAGGAGCCGCTGGATTAGGATGTAGCTTTTAAATAACAAGAACTATGAGCAGCGTGCTCTTTGCTGCAGCTGCATTTGTGACAGCTCTGCGTGAGCTGGAGTGCACCTGGGGCAGATGGGGGTTGGTGGGGTGGGAGTGTGGAGCCACAGAAAGAGGACCCACATTCTAGCTCCTTACTCAACAGCTGTGTGCCAAGGAATGTTTGCATAATAACACAATTACAGCCACCGTGCACTGAGCACTATTTATATGCCAGGTCCCCTACTAAAAGCTTTACCAGCAGTCCCTCCCCTAGCCTTGCAACGGCCTGAGAAGTACATTTTATGATGCCCAGTTTTCAGATGAGGAAACTGAGGCTCAGAGGCATCACCTCGGGGACCAGCTAGGATGCTTGAAGCTGGGGTCTGAGCGGTGCTCTTAGTTCTCCGCTGTGAAGTCTGCTGAACAGGGGACAGCGCTGCCTTGCCCATGGACTTGTCTTGTGGGGATTCAAGTCTTGGGTCCCCTGAGTTTTTAGACCAGAACTGAACACTTGGTAAAAAGTTCAATTAATAAGTAAAAATCGCATTGAAAACACAGTTCTTGTGCAGAGAAAGTTCTCAGAACTCTGGCCAATGCACTGGCCAGGATTTTTTTTTAACTCCAAAACCCACCTTGCACCATTTTATCCACATCACCACAGGGGGACTCAGGGTAGGGCAGGGGACGCCGATAAAAACCAAACTGACGTTCCCAAGTGCTGACTCTGGATCAGATTCAGAGGTCAGAGGTGAACACTTGGGAGAGTTTCCATCCCTTTTATTTTAGAAATAACCGTTTAAAATTAGAGTTGACATTACTTTGGTTCAGCATATTTGTAAAGCACGATGCAGAAATAACAGAACCGGTTTGCACTTACCAAGGATAGAAACTTGTGCAAATATGTTTCCGGTACACAGCAATGCCCGCGGAGGCAATCCCGATCATTAGATTTAAATTGTGCAGGTCCTGCCAAGAGGAAGAGCTCAGATTCACAGTGTGTTCTGGTCAGGCCCACGTCCTCGGGTATCTCCCAAACACCCATGCTTTTATAAACAGCAACGAGCAGTAGCTCTGAAGGGAAAACATGATGGAAAAGAGGGCAAGATCCCCTCTAAATGGACACTGAAGATCTAAGTATTAGTACCAGGTTTTTTCAAGTAAACGCACTGCCAGTAACACCCGCTCCAACGGTTTCAAAAAGTTACCAGGCCCTTCTGCTCATTCCACAGAATGACTGAGATGAAATTGGATTCTACATTTTCAACAATGAGTATGAGGTGTTATTAACGTCACAAAGGCTTTCTGTAGATCTCAACTCCTGCCACTAGAATGAAGTGAAAACCACGGACTCTAAATCCAATCACGATGTAAAAGCTGCTTATACTAGTAAATCCAGTAAGTTCAACATCTGCTAAGAACCTGTGTGCTGGGCATGCGATAGATAACGAAGATACAGAAGGAAGACAGAGCCACTGTAAGCTGTTTCAGTTTGTTTGGAAACAGGTATCCGTAAACAGAATTTAAAAATAAAACAGTTCCTTCTTACCCCTGGCCCAGTAGTTCTATTTGTTAGCGCATCATCCCGATACACCAAGGTTGCAAGTTCAATCTCTGGTCATGGCACATACATGAAGCAACCAACGTATGTGTAAATAAATGGAACAAGTTGATGTTCCTCTCTCTCTCTCCTTTCCTCTCCCTCTCAAATCAATAAATAAAAATTAAAAAAACAAAGTCCCTACCTTGAGTCACCTGTCCCACTATGTACCCAATCAGATACTTGTAATTACAAGGCAAGAACAGAGCTTGACTAGGTCTGTGTTATTTTGAGCTATCAAGAGTCAACTTTTCCTTTTGTACAATAACGATGATCGGGCCCATCTCCAAGGGTTTTTTATCAGTCTGAAATCAGGGAATATAAGTAAAGAACACAGAACAGGCATGGGGGACAACTCACTTTGGAAAAAATGATGTGAACACGGGAATTAGAAAAACTGATCAAAGAACACATTGCCGATATCATAAAGGATCCAGAGAACATTCCCTATTGGACACCCAACCGAAATCACACACATAAGCAAAACCAAATGTCATTGGTGGAAACTAGGGTTGCATTTAAACGTGACACTTGGAATCAAAATAAGGGGAAAATATTAAGCAGGTGGTACAGACACACAAATGAGCAAATAAAGACAAAGTGGAGCACAAAATAAGGAAATCAGTGAGTGGCTTGGGTGGGCAGTGACCTGAGTCTCCAACCTCCTGGGTCTGTGGTCTTTCAGTCTGCACTTCAACCTCAGCAACACAGACAGTTACGGATCCCTAAGTTCCCACACTCATCCCAACGTCTTCCAGCTCCACTTGTCCGAGGCAGGGGCATAGGACTAGTTCTGGCCAATGTGCAATACGGTCAGAAGTGACAGTGTGTTTCTTATGAGTGGTGTGCAACCCCCCAGCTTCCTCTTGTGACGGGCATGAGGCTTTGTGTGAAAAATGGTGAGGGCACCAGACAGGGGCGGCCTAGGCTGCTGAGTCATACCTGGAGGAGGGCGCCCTGGCGTTGTCAGGACCCGCTGCAGACTCTGAACTACAGAGAAACTTGGCGGTGTTAAGTTTCTGATATTTAGGGGGTTTTGGTTGATGCGGCATAGCCAGGGGTAACCCAACTCCCTCTGCTACCTGGCAGGTGTCAGCTGGCCAAAGGACCCTCATGGGGCACTGTAGGTGGGGAGAACACAGATCAACGGGAGCAGGTATAAAGCCTACTTCACCATGGAAGAGAGTTCTCCACAACATTCCACTAGAAAAAAAGTATTATTTGCAAATGGAATAAAATTTAATGGTCAAGTCCCAAAGTTGATATTTTGTAAGATCCGGTTTCTTTAAAATATATATATTGATTTCAGAGAGGAAGAAAAAAGGAGAGAAACATCAATGATGAAAGAGAATCATTGATTGCCTGCCTCCCACACACTCATTACTGGGGATTGAGCCGGAAACTTGTGCCTGTGCCCTTGAAAGGAATCAAACTGGGACCCTTCAGTCCGCAGGCCGATGTTCTCTCCACTGAATTAAACAGGCTAGGGCTAGATTTAGTATGTTTTTCCTACTTTATTACCTATGTCGTAACTTGTCTGCCACGATTATGCGCCTGAAGGAAGTGTTTCTATGCATTCCAAAAACATTATACAGAGATAAAATGTGGCCATTGACTGACTCAACTTCCCTTGATCTTATCTGCAAAAGGAGATAATTAGGCTACCATTGTCAAAGGTTACTATAATCTTTAAATGAGACCTTATGGTTTCATATGCGACATCAGAAACAAATGACTAGGTGTTCTACCAATTATTTTCTTTCTTTTGGATATGATGTGGGCCAATTACATCTATAAAAAATAAAGGTCAGATATCAATTGAAAGGGCTGGAGTCATGTACCCAAGCCACTACTTAGGTGCTATTAAGTCCACAAGTATCAGTTACTCCATCTGTAAAAAGGGAGTAACGATAATACCCCATGGGAAATAAGCTACTATGTGGCAGATGAAAAGTGCTCAGAAAATAATTGATGTTAGTCCATTTTATGTAAAAAGTCACAACCAGCCCTGGCTCGTGGTGTCCAGTGGTTAAGAGTGTTGGCCCAAGCACCAAAGCGTCTTAGGTTCGATTCCTGGGCAAAGGCATATACCTGAGTTACAGGATCGATCCCCGGCCCTGGTTGGGGATGCCTGCAAGAGGCAACCAATCCATGTGTCTTTCTAAATGACACAACCAATTTAAAATATTGATTTTCATAATCACACAAGGATAATTTTTTAAAAAAAACGATATTTGAGTAATTAGCTCTAATTTGAGCAGCACTGAGATTAAACAGTACCAACCTTAGCTCATTAAAGTGTTATTTAGAAAACAGACTTCTATACCCTTTTTGCTTTAATAACCACAATATAAAATGGCCATACAAAAATTACTTGTTCTTAACCCCCATGACTCTCCCCAAATAAAGCCTTCAAGAACAAAGGCAACCGTGAACAAAAGCCACTGAAGAAACAGCCAGCAACACTCAATATTACTTTATAAACTTCCAAACGTCTAAAGTAAGTCTTTTTTTTTTTTTTTTTTTTTTTTTTTTGCAAAAGCAAGACTTTTAGAAGATATTTCCAAACTTTCAGATATTAAAGTCGAAGTAATTTTTGGAAGCCAAATGTGCCCAAGCTACTTACCCGGCCGCCGTGCAGCTCCACGCCATAGAAGTCGAGGGTCCGTGCGATGTTGATGAAGCAAGATTCCGCTTCTGACTGCTTCAGCCCACTGCAGAAGAGAGGAGATGCAGCGTCCACCCATGAGAGGATGGCAACTCCGAGGTAAAAGATGAAGGCAAATCTGAAAAATCTGCTAGCATTACCCTAGGGATACTAAATGCCTCGTGGCGCCTAACCCTAAGTTCCTGAAGCTTAATCGAACCCTAAGTTCTGCGAAACCAGGGTTTCCTTCTCGTCCACTCAGACGGCTAGCCCATCATTTCTCTATTAAAGACGCCTTCTCCTGGAGCGGGCTCCCCATGATCAGACAGCGGAGACCGTCCGTCGCCTTCGGGAATTCCCACCCTACTGATTCCCAGCTGCTGAGCAGGTACTGGGTAGGTCTTTCTGCCTTTATCTACCCTGTTAGCAGCAGCCTCCAACTTCCAAACGTCACCGTACTATTTTAGGACGTTGGCTCCTGCCCGGGGAGCAATTCTGGGAGGCGGGATTGGCGGTGCCTTTTAGAAGGGACGCTGGGTGCTTGGCCTTTGTTTTTATGGCCTTCCCAAGCATGTGAGGTCCCTCGAGACAGGCCTTCCAGTCGGGGGGGGGGGGGGGGGGGGGCGGGGGAGGAGGCGGCAGCTGTGAGTCAGCTGAGGCAAGGAACCAGGAGGCCAGAGGGGGTGTGTTTGTTGCAGGGAAGGCTCGGCTCCAGGCAGTCGCAGAAGCCTGGGGCTCCGTTCTGGAAGTGAGGCAATTCCATGACCCGGTGCCAAGAGAGGACTGCAGACTGAGCCAGCCTGTCGGCACTTCTGTCCACCTGCCCCGTGCATTCGACCCCACCTGAAGGCGTGGGCCATTTTACTCAATGGGGTGAACTGTTCAAAGGGTTGGCTGGTTAAGGGCCCGGCCCGTGAGTGGGGCAGTCAGATTTAAAAGGGGCCTTTCCCTTCAGGAGTTAACTGATTTCCACTGCATCCGGGCCAGGAGTGCAGCAAATCGCCCTGAACTCTTACCGTGTTTTACACGTGACAGTATGCCAGTCCTGCCAAATATACACGCCCTCATTACAACTCAAAGGCTCGCAAACCCCCGGCATTCTGAAAGGATGCGTGAACAAAGGAGAGAGGAGAACAGAGCACACGCAGGGGACATAGGGCTCACAGTACCCACTGGGGGTTCCCAAAGTAGGCCACCCATCCCTGCTCTCACCTGTGCTGCTCGTGGAGCGATTCCACCTTCGTGACAAAGTCGTCGTTCTGATCTGGTATAAACTGGCTCTCAGAAAGATAGCCCGGGTGGTGGATGGAAGGATTATAGTCTCCGAAATGAGCTAGCAAGACAGAATGGGGAGGAAAACGCCCTTTCAACAAGGTCTGCTTTCACAAGCATCACAAGAAAAAAAAACACATTAATTGGAAAAGTTCTGCCCCCGCAGGAACCTGAGCGTGGCCTCAGCTCCAGATTCCACATTCACGACTTGTCCTCTCCCCACGGGCGAAGAGCTGCCCGCGTGCTCCAATCAAATTCTCTCTGCCCCTGGGTGTCACACGAGAGGGAAAGGGGAGATGGGTCGAATCCAGGTCCTGTTCTAATCCCACATCTGGTCGGCACAGCAGTTTGTGCTTATACCCCCGGATAAAGAAAAACAGGAGAACCCACTCAGAGCAAGGCCACTCTCTGCATGCCAGGCGCTGGGCCGGCTCTCTCTCTGCAGTGCCCCAAGGTTGTTTTAACACTGGACCCGACGTGCTCTGAGAAGTGGGTGAAGTCTGCATCTTGACTCACACCTCCTGGAGTCCAGGAAGTGTGGAAGGGAGGGAGCCAGGGTGTGTTCAGAGACCCTGGGGTGGGGCAGGGAGTGTGAGGAATAGGAGTAGGTGGCACTGAAGGGTCTAGACCCTGGCAAGGCTGAGGGAAGAGTTTGGGGGAAGGAGGAAACGTTCTTAGGGGACTCGGGTGATAGGAAGACCGGTGATGGGGCTGGCAGGGAAATAACGTTGGGGACTTGCAACCAGAGAGGGGGAAGGAAAAGGGCCCACAGAGGAACTCCCAGACTAGCCCCTGGGCCTGATGGCACTTTCCCCTCAAGGTCCTGGACTGTTCTCTGCAGACAGGCCCACCGGGGTGTCTGTGTGGGATGGGCATTCCTGAGAGCTGGGCAGTGCGTACCCAACCTGACCCCGTGTGGGTGGCTGCCCTGAGGACTTGAGCACCTGTATGTGCCTATGACTGTGGGAGACTGGGGGAAAAGAACCCCGGGTGGGGAGCCAAGGACCTGGCCTGAGTATCTGTATAGAAACAGGAGTGAGAAAGACAATGCCTAGCTGTGGCAGACAATGAATCTAGTATTTCACTTCCTTGACAAGACAAGGCTATTTCATCTTTCCAAAGGTTTTCATGTTGTCTTCCTGCGGCTGGCTTCAATGCCAAGGGGCTTCTGAGGACTTAGGATTGTTGCAGAGTACCCACTCAGCACAGAAGGTTTCTAAGACTAGCACCACTCCGCCGCCACCACACGGGCATGGGCCGGGGAGAGCAGGGTGATGCCTCAGGGCCAGCCCCAGGCAGGGCCGCTTTCTGAGATCACATTGTAAGGAAGGGTTCGTTTCCTCCTTGCACTGTTTCTTTTGGGCTGGGAGCGGGCCAACTCATCTTTAGGGCCTAACTCTTGGGCATGGCACGCAGTAGGTGCTCAGGGATATGTTGTTCAGAACTGACTTGAATGGAGGCCACTGCAAAGTTCAGCTTTGGAAGGGAAGAGGGCAGAAAGCCACGTGATCTATGCATGCAGACGTGGTCAAGGGTAAACCACAGGCCATGAAGGCCAGCCAACTGTGGCTAAGCTGTGCACGGAAATGTGCAGGCTGGATGATGTCAGCACAAGTGTTGCTTGCAAGTGAGCCTGTGCACAGTTAAGTGTGCAATGGCATGTACAGAAGTCACTTAGGTCCACAGAGAGGAAAGGTCAAGGAAGCTTAGCATCCAAACTCCTCATGTTAAAGGGCAGGAAATGAACGTGCAGAGAGGAGAAGGGACTTGCTTGACCACAGTGCCATTTTTTAGCAGTCCAGATCAGAATGCAGGTGATCCACACTTCAGCCAGTGCACCTGCCAATCCATCAACCTGCCTGCCAGGCCAGAGGTGCTGCAGCCAGTGGTCATGACCCCAAAGGGCAACCGAATGCCACAAATGATGTTCCTGAGCCTGGAGGCAGAGTCCTACTAATTTTACTGTGTTGGGTTTCTTTAGCTCAAAAGACCCTCTTGGATCTTGATTCTTTTGTCCATCATATATAACTAGCAGTCCCGACCCAGCATGAACGGCAAGGCTCTCTCTTTAGGCAAGTCACCCACCAACGTCTGAACTGAACACAGGACGGACGAACCTCCCTGAAGGGTGGTTTTCCCTTGAAATCTTAGCCGGCCACTCTGTGCAAGTCCTGTGCTGACCACTAGGGGGAAACAAAGTTAACCGGTGACACACAACATCTGGAAAGTCCAGGGAGGTTTCCACTTTGATTCCAAGGACGTCACCGTAAGAGAGATACTCCTGATAACCCTGCCATAGGGGATGCTTTCATCCCCGTTAAACAGATAATGGAACCGAGACTCAAGGAAGGGGCCTGCCCACTGCTGCTTAGCTCATGGAGCCTAGACTCTGACCACCATCCGCACTCTTTATCTATTTACTACAGCACACGCCCAAGCCATACATGCAAAAGCTAATTATAGCAGCAGGGAAGGGATATGAGGGCTTCTACGTGGGAAATACTTTGCCTTTTCAGTCCCATGCATTCTTCTGGCTGGCATTTTACATGTTGTAAAAAACGAGAGAGAATGTTGTGGGAACTCAAACGTATGGCATCTCAAGTGTCCGGCTGTTTCGCTGGGAAAGCCCTTTACATGCCATTCCTCCAACTCCCACTCGATCTTCGAGGCTCTTCTGGGGGATCCTCCCTGGGAAGCTGATCTGGACTTCCTCCCTCTCCCCCACCCCAGGCAGGACCAGCAGGTCCTCTGTGCTCACCCCACCGCCAGCATCGCCTGGTCCACCTCTGCCTCTGCCTGCCCACCAGTATGGCAGCCGCTGGCCACCTGTGGCTACTGAGCACATGAAGGTGGCCAGTCCACACTGAGATGTGTTGCCAGTGCAAAGACTGATGGGTTTTCAAAGGCATAGTGCAAAAAGAGTAAAATATCTCATTAATAATTTTTTCACTGATTACATATTAAAGTGATAATATTCTGGAATACTGGGTTAAATATCGGGCCTAGTAATAATTAATGTCGTTTTTAAACATTCGTTTAAAATCTTGCTTGGCGTTGACTTGTATTGACATAACCTTCAAACACGTGGTATCTACAGAATGTGTGAAGTGCAATTAACAAGTTTTGCTTGAAAAAGTTTGTGTTTGGTTTGGTTTTTGTTGCAAAACTAGGGCTAAGAAGATGGCGGATGAAGAGCATATTCGGCATTGCATGCTTTACGAGTTCCAATTAGGAAGAAAAGCAAGTGAGGCTGCAAAAAACATCTGTAGTGCTCTTGGTCAAGATGCAGTTAGCGCCAGAAAATGCCAGCGTTGGTTTGAGAAATTTCGCGAGGGAAATTTTTCGTTAGATGACAAGAGTGGTCGAGGCCGTGTGTCCAATTTTGATCAAGAAGCTCTTCAAGCTCTTTTGGTGCAAAATCCTCAAATTACCCAACAAGGGCTTGCGACAACTTTAAATTGTTCACAAAAAACAATTTCCAATCAATTGTGTGCACTTGGCAAAGTCCAAAAGTTTGGAAAATGGGTTCCTCATGAGTTGACCGACAACAACCGTAATCAAAGAGTCACAATTTGCAGTTCGCTCCTCTCTCGTCAAAACCGTTTGCTGTTTTTAGAGCAAATTGTTACCGGAGATGAAAAATGGGTGCTGTATGTTAATTTGAAAAGGCGGCCTCAATGGTTGGACAAAAATGAGGCTCCGCAGCCCATGCCAAAACCTGACTTGCATGCGAAAAAAGTGATGTTGTGTGTTTGGTGGAATTTTAAAGGAATTCTTCATTATGAACTTTTACCATCTAACCAAACCATTACAAGTGCAGTGTATAGTGCCCAATTGGAAAGGTTAGCCCAAGCTTTAAGAGAAAAAGAACCCGCGCTGATTAATCGGAAGGGTGTAATTCTTCACCACGATAACACACGACCGCATACTGCAAGAATCACTGCTGAAAAACTGCACCAGTTGGAATGGGAAGTTCTCCCTCAACCTGCATATTCTCCTGATATTGCCCCTTCCGATTACCATTTGTTTCGTTCTTTGCAAAACTTTCTTCTTGGAAAAAAATTTAATAATGAAGAATGCCTCAAAAATGTATTGACCGAATTTTTTGCATCAAAATCACAAGAATTTTACAACAGAGGGATTAAAATGCTTCCTGAGCGTTGGGCACAAGTAGTAGAAAACAATGGCAACTATATTGTTGATTAAATTTTGTTGTATTGTTTAAATAAATTCGATTTTAAAAAGTATTAGAAAACGACATTAATTATTACTAGACCTAATATATTAAAAATAATCTCACCTGTTTCATTTTACTTTTTTAATATGGCTACTCAAGAATTACATACAGAGCTCACATTATATTTCTACTAATATATATAATAGTAGAATATATATGTACATATAATATATATATACTAATATATATATATTATATACCCATGAGCTCTATGGAAACTCTAAAAATAAATTCCTAAGATCCCAGAAGCATGTAGAGTGACACCAAGCAAGTAGCAGGAATGACCTCCAGCAAATTCCGTAACTTAGGTGGGGCTCAGTTTCCTGGTCTGTAAGAGGTGGCCACGGGGGTTCGTTGTGGAAATCAAATCCAAAATGTGAGCAAAGCCTCCAGAAAAGGTAATGGGCGATAGGTGTCTTCCATTTATGGGCTCCCAGGGAGAAAACCTCACACCACAGCTCAGCTACTCTTTTTCCTTCAACCACCTTCCTGAGTGCAAGAGCCCTGAGCTGAGGGAAAGAGTAAGTCAGGCTGAGGGAGGAACTATCTGGACAACCAGAGACGCTTGCCCCTCCGGAGGGAGAGGGACACAGTCAAACAGGAGAAGCCGATGACTTTCCCCGATACAGGGGTCAGAACAATCCGTCCGTCCGTTCGTGACACGCTCCCTTGTGACTTACATTGTACTGCGTAGGATGCCAGAACCACCGCTGAGTTAAGAGGGCAGGTCAACCTATCAGAAGAAAAACACATTAGCAAAGGCACACCAGCCCGAAACACTCATTGATCACCTGTCTTTTCTTTCTTGAGTTAAGCATGAGACACACCATGAGTCACAGCAAAGACACGTTTATGATACAACTATTAAGCAGCAAAGATGAATGTAACATTAAAGATTTCTAAAAATGGAAAGAACACGTTTCCATGTTTAAAAATAATATACATAAATACATATGCCATGGAGGTCATGGCTGGCCAGAGTTTTGGCTGGTCAAGAGAGGCCAGGCTCATATCGCTAAGAGAAAATGGAACGCTTAGGTCCACGGGCGACCTTCGTATCTTTCGGGTAAAGACATGAGACTTTTCTTAGGGCTTTCGAACTACATCCCCAAGGTCTGCTGACTCAATGAATCTCAATTACTCACTTTCTAAAAGGGAAAAATACAAAGGCATTATGAATTTTAAAACCCCAGGGAGTTTTAGATTACCCAATTAAATTAGTTATTTAAGACTCCTCAATCTATGTGCGCCCTGAAGCTTCCAGTCTATGGAGAACGCTCTGTCCACCTCTCAGGCTCCTGCCATCTGCCAGGAGTCCACAGGCTCCAGAATGGACTTGTTCTTCTACCCTCTTAAGCTCACTGCCCTTTGGTATACCCCATCTCTGCCAGTGATTCCATCTCTGTCTCGGTCATATTTCAAATCCTCTGAGTGCTCCTTTTTCTCCGCTCCACCCGGGGTTCCACGGTCTACTGAGGGGCCCGGCCAGCAGGCCCGGAGCGGGGTCACCGGGAGGGGGAGGGATGCATTGGGGAAGGGCTGAACGCAGCCGCAGGAATGAAGGCTTGCAGGGTGGAGAGACAGATTTTCAAAGCATTCTTCCCAGCAAACCCATGGGAAAGGGGAGAAAACACATGGTTTCCATGGCAGCCCATGGAGATATGAGTCACCCCAACCTCTCTGACTAATCTGGCCAGCCTGTCTTGTGCGCTGCCTGTGTGCTGGCCCTGCAGCTGCTTGGGAAGGTGGCCTTCCCTCCCTGCGGGACCCCGACTTAGCGCTTCTAAATGCTCTCTCCAAGTTGGAGATACATCCAGGGATGCTCACTGTCTCTCTGTTCGTCTGGAGATCCAGAGAGTCCATGGGGAGAGCAAACATCAGCCACTTGCTCTCCTGCCAAGATGGGCTTCAGTGACATCTCAGCCGGGTTCTTGCTACAGAAAGAGCAGTTGAATAGGATTTGGGGAACATCTTAGCAGAGAAACTAAAGGGTCTGTGGGCATTCCTGAGAGCTGTGCAGTGAGCACCCAACCTGTACCAGTGTGGGTGGCTGTGCAGTGAGCACCCAACCTGTACCAGTGTGGGTGGCTGTGCAGTGAGTACCCAACCTGCACCCGTGTGGGTGGCTGTGCAGTGAGTACCCAACCTGAACCAGTGTGGGTGGCTGTGCAGTGAGTATCCTACCTGCACCAGTGTGGGTGGCTGTGCAGTGAGTACCCAACCTGAACCAGTGTGGGTGGCTGTGCAGTGAGTATCCAACCTGCACCAGTGTGGGTGGCTGTGCAGTGAGTACCCAACCTGCACCAGTGTGGGTGGCTGTGCAGTGAGCACCCAACCTGTACCAGTGTGGGTGGCTGTGCAGTGAGTACCCAACCTGCACCCGTGTGGGTGGCTGTGCAGTGAGTACCCAACCTGCACCAGTGTGGGTGGCTGTGCAGTGAGTACCCAACCTGCACCAGTGTGGGTGGCTGTGCAGTGAGTACCCAACCTGCACCAGTGTGGGTGGCTGTGCAGTGAGTACCCTACCTGCACCAGTGCGGGTGGCTGTGCAGTGAATATCCAACCTGCACCAGTGTGGGTGGCTGTGCAGTGAGTACCCAACAATCCTACGAGTCAGTCAGGAAGGAAAACATCTCCACTAAGAGTGTAAACATGGTACAGAGCAGAGAACACCGTAAGCCTGAGTTGTACTCTATGATTCAGCACTTCCTGTGGAAAGTGAGGTGCAGAAGATGCTCACAGGCTGCATCTTCCTAACAGACCCTTTCCTTCTCTCCGAGCTTTGGGGGTTTCCATCTGGGGGACGAGATGGCTTTTCTCAGCAGAAGGAACTGATGCCTCCGGCACTGCCTATCACGGACAGCTCAAACAGGTCAGGGCACGATTCGACACCCAGGAGGAACGCTCACTAGATCCACTAGGTCCGTCAGAGGATCCTGAGAAGCAGCTGGCAGCGGCAGGACCTCCCCTCAGACAGGTGGTGAGGGCCGCCTGCCAACCCGGTAGTGACAAGAACCCCAGGGTTCTCAGCCAGGAATTCGATCGATTCACACAAAACTGCCAAGGGGGATTTCGTTTGGAGGAGAAAAAACTGAAGATGATCGATTTCCAACACGTGGGGAGCTGGACTGAAAGCTGCGGAAGGGCAGGGCCTTGCCCTATACTGTCCAGCACAGTTGAGTGCCTGTCTCAGAGCAGGCGCTTGCAAAGTATTTGTGAGACAAACCATTGAGTGAGGGGGAGGGGCATCTTTTCACTCACCACCCAGGGGGATACACCTCCTCACCTCGCTACCAATCCTAACCCCAGCGCATCGCAGCAGTGCACAGACTCCCAGCCCACACCTGCACCTCCTCCTCCTGAAACCCTAGGACACATGCTCTCCACACTCAGACTGGTCCTAACTGCTTCGAGGGCTCTGGTGTCACTGCCCCAGCAGCCTGCAAGCTCCCTTCCGAAAGCGAGAGCGCGAGGAGGCTCTGAAGACGGTCCTCAGCAGGACTGCACAGGCTGCAGCAGGAGAGCGGATGGGGAGAATGGGAATGAGGTGGCCGTCCCCACCAGTCTACCTGCTGCACGTTCCTCCGGAAGCCAAGCGCAAACTTGGGACCGCTGGCTTGGCGTCTTCCGCCCTCCCTGAGCTTTCTGCACTTCACTTTCCAGCCACTGAGATGGTCCTGATACACACAAGAAGTGCTGAATCACGGCAGGCGCTCATGTCTTCGAGCAGTGTCCCCAGAGAGGAAATGAATCACCTGCAGGTAGTAGGGGCTCCGAAGTGGACCTAAATGAGGCCTGACCTGCCTTCCTGAAGGAGGTCCTGTTCACTTTTGGGGTCCCTCCCCTCTCTGTAAAATTTCTCAGGTCTTTACCGGAAAGATATTTGTACCTTTTATAACAAAATTGAAACAACATGAAAATAATGTTATCGGTTCTTAGCCTCTGCAAACCAGGATCGAGTTGAACACACGTCCAAAGCACACGGAATGCTGCTTTCAACATCCACTCTCAGTGTGCGTGTAGTGTCGCTACCAGGGGTGCATGCTCATTCGATTAGAACCAGGGATTGTGCTAATCTGGCAGTTGACAAGGGGAAAAAGGATGCAAAATTCTCATTACCTTCCTTCACAGATATCCATCTTCAGTTGTAGGAAATACAAATGCCTATGAAACAATTATTTTCATTAATCCATCATATACTAGTTGAAATAAGCAAAAACAAAACAAAAACAAAAACAAACAAACCAAAAAACCCCACCCAAAACACCACTGATGCATCAAGGATAAGACCTTTATTTAAAAAATAAAATACACAAAGGCACATTTTAATCTAAAGCATTAGGTATCATTTTGCACATTTCAAAGCTGCCCCTTCAGGAATAATGGCTCACATGGCTGTTTAAGTCTAAGTCTTGATTGGCAGAGCCTCATGCCACCTAATGCTGTCCTAAGGGGGGACGAGGCGGAAGCAGCCCATCAAGGATCAACTGGTCAGTGAGTCCCAGACCCTCAGCCCGGACCTCCCCAATCAAACGTGGCGTGTCTGAGAGCACCAGGAACTACAGGCATTTGCTCCGACAGCCCCTGCACACTGGAGGGGCTGCTGTTCTGAATGTGACATTCGCACACCCACATGCCCTCTGCACGGAGTTGCTGAGGAGAGGAGGGTCTGTGAAGACATCTTTTTGGCTGGGGAGCAAGCACCCCGCTGGGTTTTCTCCTATGCCCCAGGAACTGTGGGTGCTCCAGCAAAAGCATAACCGTCAACTGCAGGCTGCCAGGACCTCCAAGCTGGATTCTGTCAGCAGAATCACTTCCAAACCCGGGCGTGAGGTGTGGGCAGAGCTTAGTAAATCGTCAGACCCCCCTCCCAGCCTGGGAGCCCGCCCTCCAGCCAGGTGATGGGGACAGAGGCATCCACAGCGCCGTGCAGGCTGGGAAGGGCCTGCAGAGTGTTCTATTTAGGGATGCGGCACACCCGTGACACTTGGCTGCTCGCTCCTGCTCTTTTTTAAAGCCCGGACTCAAATGGGATAGACATTCCAGTGTCTGGCCAAGAGGACAAAAGCGAAACCTCTTGAAATACAATACAGACGCAGCAGAAGTGTCCAGGGGCCAGAGAGAGAGATCATTTTGGCAATGTAGACAGAGCATTCCCAGTATTCCTACAAATTTATGTTTAAAGGTGAAGGTGCTGGTCTTTTGAGACGTGAGTGCTTCACATGGTATTGTGCCTTCCTAAGTGCACGGTCCCGGGCCGTGTGCATGGTATTTTAGAACATATCGCCTCATTTCAGCCTCATAATAACTCTGTGAGGTAGGGACCACCACCTACATTTTTTACAGAGGAGAACACTGATGTCCCAAGAGGTGATGTGGGGTCAGTTATGTCTTATTTTAACCTGGACACTAACGCTATGGGAAAAAATCTGACTATGCTACAGATTTACGTGGCTAATGGCTAAAAAACTTAGGATCTATTTCCCAACTCTGATGCTATTACTTTGACTATAATTACCAGCTCTCAAGGTGCTGAAGACCAGCACTGAGACACGGCAGACACAGACTTGCTGATTCACGTTTATTTCCATAATGGAATCTCTACCTTTTCCACCTAGAACATAATCCGTCCTTTCTAGTTTGTTTCTGTTTATCCCAGCTGACATTCAACCAGAATTAAGTGTTCTCTCCTTCCACAACACAACTGAGAGAAAGGAGAGAAGGGAGAGACTTAGACCTAATCCCGTGGTTAAAGCTGGGCTTTTACGGATGAGCCCGGCTAATCGGAGCATCTTCCTAGGGATAGAAGCGAGAACATAAGCCTGGACATCGCCGTTCATCAAATGCTACCTTGTCCTACATTCAACAAAGCCCCTGAGTGAACCCCATGACATCATCACGAAGGGACCCGGATAGGGGCATGAGGCCTGAACAGAGCGGACCTCCCAGACATCTTAACGGAGCCTCATTTCAAGTCTGCCAGCAAATGAAATTCTGTTGAGAATGATCTACATTGCTCAGAAGCATCCGTCGTGGAGGGCATCATCAAGGGGACACTTATTTCACAGTTAGAATAAAGGAAAGACTTGGAGAAGAGACGCTGGCTGTGCCCATTTTCAGAATTCCAAGGATCGATCTTAGAGCACACCCCATCCAGGAGCTCAACTTCAGGAAAAAGCAACCCCTGCCTCCCTGCCTGGATCCTTAGGAAACAAATGTCACCTCTGTGTTCCTTCTCTGACTCTCGGGAGCTAAATTTCTAACTTTTGGAGAAGTTACAGAGCTGGGGTTTCAGGAAATTCTATGTGCCAGGAACGCAAGTAAAATTCTTCATTTAAGTAAAAACCAACTACACACACACTCTCTCTCTCACACCCAGGGGTGGCTGCTGCCAGGGCTCCTGCTGCATTGAAGGGAAATTTGGTGCCGAATCCTAGGAGGTGACAGCTCTACTTTACACCACACTGGGGATACCACCCATTTGAAGACGGGAGGTGGGGGGTGGGGTTTAGAAGGAACGCATGGACAAACTGAACTTTACATGGGACTTAGATCTAAGAACAAAAATTAGCCTATTGCTCACCGTAAGCTCAAACCTGCCCTTCTGCAACCTCCAACCACTGGCCAGAATTCTACCACCTAGCTCATCCAATCCCCCTCTCCATCTGCAGATCAAGGGCAGCCTTTGCTCCCTTCCCACTTCTCAATCCTGAACTCCCTATGGTTTCCTCAAATGTCAAGGCGGCAGGGCAGGAGGGCGCTGTAGGCTCCAGGAGTGAGGGAGCGTCCCTCCCGTGGGGCACAGAAGTGAATGTCCAGTGATCAGGGAGGGTGCTGGAGAGGGCCCTGGACGAGGCTGCCCAGCAATCCCTCACTCAAGTTCTCTCTTTGGAGAGCATCACAGGGGGGAGAGGGGGGCTGGGTGATACATAATTTATACATAATCCACCATGCCATTTCAAAAGCATTCCTTGAATAGAACTTTGCTTTAGTAATGGCTTGGGGAAACCTTGGTAGGGTCATTTCAAACACATATTCTTACAATGTCTCCACTTTGCGTTGAGTCCGCGGGATTAGGAACTGATCTGCTAGGTGGAGCGTTCCTACACTGTCCCTCAGTCCACCAGGGTAAAGGGCCAGTACGGGGGAAAACAAACCACCGTGTGCACCACCGATGGGTCACCATGGACATCTCTTAGACCGGCTTGAAATTTAACTTCACTGTAAACATAGTCAAATTGCCAAAGTCGGCTACTGCAGGGGAAGAGGTGCCCAAAGAAGGCAAAACAGATCGACAGACTGATCTCTGGCCTTTAAACATATTCAAAGTTAAAATGTGATCATGTGACTACCATTAAAGAAAAAGAAAGGGTAAAAAAACAAGATGGCATCCTGTGTGTGAGCTGACATCGCCGGCCCCGTGGTGGTCACACGGCCACAGTGAGCACAGGTCAGGATTCAATATTCTTGAACATCCATTCATTACTTTTCCTGGTGGAAGTTTCCCTCCCTCAGAAAAATAAAAGTGTCCCCAATAAAGAGCTTAACGCTGCCATGGGGAGAAGCAGAGGCATGGATGAATTTGCCCGGTACCTGTTCAAACAGCCTCCACTTTCCTGCACCCGCCTCCTCCACTCCAAACAGCAGTTCCTGCCCAGAAAACCCACGTGTCGGCGCCAGCACACAGCTGGGGCCGGACACCAAGCCCAGTGGGGTAAACAACTCCTATCACAGCCCTTATCTGGTTCACACACTGTCTGCACGGGCGGATTCGGGGAGGAGAGAAGCTGGCCAGCTGGTTCTTCTTTCTGCCTCCTGCCAATGGGATCACAGAGAATTCTTAGCCCAGAGATCTCATGTTCTCCTGAAGAGCCTCAATCCTAGCCCTTCGCAGACACGTGCTCCTGGATCTGTACACGAGCATCTTACAAACTTGTCTTCCCAGCCCTGCCTGCATGAGCAGAAAGGACTTGTTCTCTGAACACAGGAGCTCTACAGGCAGAAGGGGGCAGGGACGGGGAAGGTGAGGGAGACAGAATCCAGTGGGGGAGGCAGGACCAGGTGGGAGTGCACTGGGAATCACACGTGCCAGGAGGAGAGAGAGGCAGGCCCAAGACTGGACAGGAATGACCTGATTCAAATTTCAACCTGTGTACCACACCCCGCACCCCATTTTCATTGGATCATAACTGTTGGCGCCATTATACCCAAATGAAGCCTTTGGCCACAGTGATAAAACAAAAGAACACATTTTTAGTGATCACTCATTTTTTTATATACTAAGTAGAAAACTTAAAAAAAAAATGTTATTACCTGGTTTGTTCTTGCTGCAGTGTGTTGGGATCAGGTATAAAAAATCTTACTCGAAAATGCAGGGTACAGGGGAAACCTCCTACAACATTTTTCAAAAACAAATTAAAATTTCCCTTTAAAAATAGTCAATGCATATAAGCGGCAGCTCTCCCTAAGTGATGCATTTCTCACTACACTATAGCTTTCCCATTAAGAGCATTTATATATATATATATATATATATATATATATATATATATATATATATATATATAAAGGAGTGCATAAGGTAATTGACTGTTCAGAAATCGTCACGTCTATAAGAAGTAAAATATTTTTGCAACATCAGCATAGAATGAGGCTTTATCTACTTCCTAGTACAGGCTTAACTTAGGGCTGTGTTCATACGGTACATTTTTTTGTATTAGGAATTTTTTTAAAAATTTCTTAAATCAGCAGAATATACAAAATTCACCAAGAAATATTATCTCCCACAGAGAGTGATTTTACACTTTTCAGACATTTCCATGTACATTCTCGATTGTAACACTGCTGTGGCCAGGCGAGGCCTCTACTGCTAGCTCCCTTTTACAGGCTTAGAGTGTGACATCACTTGCCTTAGGCCACACAGCTGATCACAGAACCGGAAGGATAGCCCTGTGGCTTCTGATTCTGCTAGGCCACATTTCAAACACACTTTTATACTAAAAGACACATCATACTTTTAATGCTAAGTGAATCCCAAAGTGACCAACATGTCAGCAAATACTACATAATTCACATACTCAAATATGGCTTCATGCAACAATACCAAGAGTCAAAACTCCTTGTAGGAACGAAATAAGCCCATTTCTTTTGCTAGCTATGGCAATACGGGAGTATCAGGTTGTGCTGCTAAGAACCATGTCCTTCTTCATGTCAGTCTCACCCTCCCTGCTGCTCGGTAATAGTCATTGGCCCTATCTAAGGGCACAGCACTGACTTGCCCTCTGAAACTCGAGCCTTCTCCACCAGGGGCCTCTCACTCACCTCCTCTACCTTAGCTCATGCTGGGCCCCATCCTCCCCTCTTCTTTAGTATCGCCTCTCTGATCTTTGGCTTGGGTCAAAGACTCTCATGGGTGTGTGTGTGCACCTATGCATGGACCTGTGTACAGGCGCCTGGGTGCCAGAGTGGGTGGTGCTGTGACACTGGGTGCAGGCTGAACACCTGCGCATCGGGGGATAGCTGAGTCCTCCCGCTGTCTTGGGATGGCCTTCCGGCTGCACGTTGTCACTTAACATTGTAAGTCATCACCGTGTGTCTCGGACAAGCCTCCACGTCTTTCTCACCCTCCTCTGTGCACCCAGAGCATCCTGTCATGTGCCCCAAACCACCCTACAACTGTCTCTGCCATTTCAGAAGCATTCCGAGAGTCCCCGCACTTGGCTGTGAGCTCCTTAAGGGAAGGGTCCAAATCTGATCTGGACCAGATTCCCAGAGCTGAGCCGGGTGCCTTGCCAAAGCCTGAGCTCGGGGCACATTAGCTGAGGGAGTGCACCAGGCAGAGGATGAAGGACAGCCCCTGTGCGTGTCTGTGTGCACGTATCCCTCTGTGAATGAAAAGGAGGCCGGGGGTTATCTGCACAAAGGCTCTGGGGCTTCCTGGGGGGACTGCTGAATGCCAAGGACACACTCATGGGAGACAGGGATCTGCAGCCCAGGCTCCAGGGGAGAGCAGCTGTGGGATCAGGGTCTGGACGACTGTTTCTGCTCCTTCCCATCCGGGGGCTAGGGTTGCGGCATTTGTGCGTGCACACTTCTGTGTACAAATCCACCGCCTTCACCCCTCAACCACTCACTGGCCACCTCCTGTATGTTGGTAGGTGAGGGGGGGAGTGGAGGGGGACTCCAAGGAATGCAGAGAGGATGCCCCACCCTGCCTCTCACTCTAGGCTAAGAAAGGTCATCCTCCCTCACCCTGCAGACTGCAAGCTCCTTGACAAAGAGAAAGACAGCTAACTAGGAGCTGAAGGAGAGAGTGTCCCGGGGCACGAAGCAGAGAGTGTAAATGTAAGTGGGGGCAGAGGGATTCAGGACTTGCAATAGGGGAAGAAATGGGATCTGAGCAGCTTTAAAGAAGGACAAGGTTTGGATCTAGGGAAGCAGGAGGGAAAGGCATTGCCAACAGAGGGAACAGCATGAAGGCAGGCACAGAGCAGTGTGTCTGGGGCCTAAGGTGCAGAAGGAGAAGTAGAGTGTGATGCTGAGAGCCCCGAACTGGGAGTTAACCTGCACTGGGACCTCCTCTCGGTGGATGAGCTGAATGTTACATTTCTGACGTCGCCTCCCTGTGCCTTGGTTTCCCGTGACTGGGATTAAGCTACCGGGAAGGACTAGGTGTGTGTGTGTGTCTGCCTCTCTGTCCCCACCCTGTCTCTCACTCTGGGCTAAGAAAGGCCATCCTCCTTCCTTATGAAAAGAAAGTGGGTTCTCTGGCTCTTGGCTGCCTTCTTCCACCCTCCCCTGTCTTGCTCACAGCTGGCGGGGAACCCCTGGAGGCTGGTCTGGAAGCATCTCACTCACGCCGCCTGGACCACCTGGAGTCCAGGTTCCAGATGTGACAGGCACCCTGATAATTAGGGGGCAGAACTGGGCCACGATACACTAACACCAAATGAGTGTCCAAATGAGAAGGTCACACCCACCTTTTAACTGCTTCCTGATGGGCTTGCTTGATTCCAGCCACCTCTGCTGGTTAAGAAAACATAAGATATAAAAAAACCAAACTGTGCAGAAGTCTAGCGCATCTTAAAGGGACGGTACTCACGGGAGAGTCCACTGATTCATCGCCATGCTGCAAACCAAAATATTCCTTTTCGGTCACGCACAAGTGGTTGTATGCCATGTCCAGGAGAACTTGACCGGTGTCCTGTTTCTAGGAATAAAAAGTCGGGTGGGTAATATTTTAAAACGAATTAAGAACCCGTGGTTAAAAATCTTTACTGTAGCCGAAACCAGTTTGGCTCAGTGGATAGAGCGTCGGCCTGCGGACTGAAGGGTCCCAGGTTCAATTCCAGTCAAGGGCATGTACCTTGGTTGCGGGCACATCCCCAGTAGGGAGTGTGCAGGAGGCAGCTAAATGGATGTTTCTTTCTCACCAATGCTTCTAACTCTCTATCCCTCTCCCTTCCTCTCTGTAAAAAACAATAAAATATATTTTTAAAAAATCATTACTGTAACCCGGCCAGTGTGGTTCAATGGTAGAATGTCAACCCATGAACCAAGAGGTGAGGGGTTCAACCGCCCGTCAGGGCACATGCCCAGGTTGTGGACTCGATCTTCAGTAGGGGGCACATGGGAGGCAGCTGATCAATGTTTCTATCTGTCTATCCTTCTCCCTCGCTCTCTAAAAATCAATAAAAAGATAACGTTTTATTTTAAAAAGTGTTTGCTGTAAATAAGGAGTTCACACTTTCAGAGATTTTATGTGCACACATATCCCAAGATAAGAAATGCTTTAACAAATGCAAGTTCAGAAGCCACATGGTACGTGTAGGAAGCAGGCTAAGAAAAACGACCCAAGGAGGGCTGAAGACAGCCCTGTTTAATTCTGTCAGGCTTCCCGCTTCCCCTCAGCCGAGATCCCCAAGTGACGAAGCCTTAATCGGGAAACTCAGCAGTCACAGCGAGCGCGCCCCCGTGCCCCACCCGTGGCTTATCCCCAGCACAACGCTAATCCCTCACGGGCTCCCGAAGGCTCCTCCGGAGGCAGGGACTGCGCACAGGGCTGAACAAGCTCCCTGCTGACCACGTGAGGGAAGAGGGCTAAGAAACTCCAATGACACCCAAAATACCCTCAAAGTGCTCTGGCATGTGACACCCTGGGGGATTATCTGCCTCACTGCTCCTCGTCATCTGAAGTGAGAAGCCGGTGGGGACATGCAACCACTTCACATCCAGAGCGGGACTCAGCCGCCTTCACCACTCAGAGCTGACGCGGCAGGCACGAGGCTGAGCATGGGACAGAGGCACAGGGGTGTCCATTCCTGCCCTCCCTGGGGACAGAGGCACAGGGGGTGTCTGTTCCTGCCCTCCCTGGGGACAAAGGCACGGTGGGGAGGTGGGTTGTGTGTCCATTTCTGCCCTCCCGAGGCCAGCGGGGGAGCTGTGAGATGCTCAGGGCACAGCGAGCACACAAGAGGACAGCACCAACATTTAGCTCAGCCTGGAAGCATGCCCCCTGCAGCCCCTGGCCTGGGCCTGGGAGGGTGGCGACTCAAGAACACCTTCCCTCTGCGTGCAGGAGCGGGAGTGGGAGTGGAGAAAAGAATGTGATGCAGGTATCCCTGCATAAAGGCACAGGGCCGGGAAACAGCGAGGGGCGCTGAGGAAACGGCAAAACCTACTTCAATGCTCCGACTTCTCGGGAAGCCTTTGAACCAAACCACTGACCTGAAGGACAATTTGAGTCAGAAATAGACCGTGTATAGAAGAAGCAAAAGCAGTTTTGTTTTTTTAGTTTTTTTAGGGTATGTGTGTGCAGATAATGTATCTGAAAATAGGTCGCATCCACTAGGAAGAGGACATTAGGTAACTGTCAGGCCCCTTCCTGCAGCCTCTGCCTTGGCTCGGTCTCATGTTATCTGATCTGATGTGGGAACACGAGACACGCCCAATGCCTGCACGCATCCCCTTTCCCTGCCGAGGGCCTGTTCCTGCCACTTCCTCTGACCCGGCAATCTCCATCCCGAGGGAATCACGATGGTATGGAAAAGATGACTGGTCCACCGGTTCCAAACCGTGAGATTCCCGCCCCCTGGAGTGAGACACGTTCTGGGTGTGTCAGAGAGCTATCTGCTCCCCAGGTTGAAAGGATTATTTCTATGACTTTACATCAGATTAAATTTGTTATTATTATTATCATTATTATTTTTGTTAATCCTCACCCGAGGACATTTTCCCACTGATTTTCTAGAGAGATTGGAAGGGAAGGGGAGAGACAGAGAAATATGGAAGTGAGAGAGACACATGGGTTGGTTGCCTCCCACACACACCTCACCAGGGGCAGGGATCCAGCCTGCAACTGAGATATGTGCCCTGGACCGGAATCGAACTTCTGATCCTCCATCCTTGGGCCAACCCTCTATTCACTGAGCCAAACCCGCCAGGCTTAATATATTCTTAAGAACTATAATCCACTGAACATCCCCGAGGAGCCAGACAGGATACTAATACGTGCTCTTTATAAACACAACGTCTCATCTTTGCAAAGGCACCATCAGGGACCTCTTCGCCGATAAGCAAACAGGGGCCCTGGAAATCTCAGAGTCTTGGGCCAGACACCATCCCTACACCTGGGGAACACCCACATATGTATACCGGCCTAGACTCCTGACTCATATTTCTAAGGCCATGGCTACGTCCCCTCGAGGGGTGAGTAACAGGCATCTCAAATGGTTACGACAGGATGGTCACTTCTGCTCCCCTCGCAGCCTTTCTCATCTCTGTAAACTGCAACTCTGTCCTGCCGACTGCTCCGGCCAAAAACCCGAGTCACCTTGAGGCTTCTTACACACCCCAAATCCCGTCTGCCAGCCAGTCCCACTGGCTCCACCTTCAAAGTGTCTCCTGACTTGGTTTACTCAGCCACCTCCACACTACAACACTGTCCAATCATCATCTCTCCCCGGGGTGGTTACAACAGCCTCTGAGCCCTTGGCCCCAGTCTACTGGTGACCGAGCATCCAGAGTGACACCGAGTCAGATCATGTTGGGTCCCTGCCCAAAGCTCGCAATGCATCCTTTCTCCTTCAGAATGACCTATAAGGCTCTGCACAACCCTCCCCACCTCAACGGACCTGCTGTCACTCTGACCTCACTCTCCTTGCTTATTCTTCTCCCGACACAAGGGCTTGGCACACTGTTCTACAACCACACTAACCAGGATGCTGCCGCCCTAGGGCCTTTGCACTGCCGTTTCTTGGACCTGGAATGTGCTTCCCCCAGAGAAGGACAGGGTTCTTTTCCTCTTCACTTCCTTTAGGCGAGGCCTTTCCCGGCCACTTGTATAAAATGACATCCCCGGTCCCTCCATGGCACTCTCCATCTTCTTATCCTGCTTTATGTTTCTTCCAAGCATATACGACCACTGACAGTATACGTTTGTTTATGGTCCAGTTCCTCTCTGGGATTTTGCTGTTTTGTTCACGCCTCTATCCCTTGTACCCAGAACAAAGCCTGGCACACGGTAGGTGCTCAGTAAACATCTGCCAAATAAACATTCATGTTCTTGTCAGGAAGAAGTCGCACAGCTGAGGAGCAGCTCCAGGTTGACAACATACATGTCAGCAAAGGAGTCAGCTATTTACTGTCAGTTTACAGCCACTAGAAGAGATACGTGTGATCTTTGCGGAGCAGGTTCAATCACAAAATTCTACAGGTGACGATGTCAAAAGGAAACACCATCTGGAATAAAGTTTAGTGAGCCAAGAGCAGTGGCTTTTTGAGGGAGGTACATCTGATCTTGACAAAAGGGCCCTACAACGGTGGTCCCCCAGACTGTCATGTGCTCAGGATTGCTTGAGGAGCAGATACTCCAGGGAGCATCTCAAACACCAGGTAGGACAGGAGATTTCTATTTCTAACACGCATCCATGGGTCCTGAGGCACTTTCAGAAATATTTACCAGGGCTGCACCGCCCAGAGTACATACAACTATTTACATTGTAATTAACTAAAATAAAGTTAGGGCCATCCGGTGTTCTAGCCGCATGTCCAGTGCTCCATGGCCCTGTGTGACTAGTGGCCCACAGTGTTGGCTGCTGTGGACACAGGACACTTCCTGGCACTGCAGTGCTGCCCTAGGGGGTGTCTTTTCTACAAACTGGCTTAAGAAACAGGTCACAGGTGTATTCCCAGGTCCCTAGACTCTAGACAATCACATGCCCTTGCTGGGCGTGTCCTTCTACAATGATGCCCCCCCCCCCACGTGCAAAAGAGCAGGGCCCCGACCTTAGAGGAGGCCTGGGTAGCTGTGGGAGTAGAGGGGGCAGTTGGGTAGAAAGTCAGGGAATCTCTCTCTCTACTGTCCATTCCCACTCTCTGCCAGGAGAGAGGCCCAAACTCCAGTGTCCTTAGTCATCTTGTCCCCTGAAGGCAGACAAACCCGCTGACTTGACCCTGAACCAGAAAGGAGAAATTAGCACGCACCATACTGTGCCCTCAGGAAATCTGCCCTCGTGACCCTGACCCGGGCTCAGCAGAAAGCAGACTTATGGGAGAGGCAGGAGCCACAGGGGTCAGCTTTTGTTGGCCTTTCCATTCTTGTGGCCTTTTATCAACCTCCAGTTATTCTCTCATCCCCCTTGCACATTGAACTTTCCAGGCTGGGGCAGATGCTGGCAGTCAGCCAGGTTGGGGTTGACCCCTTTAGGGTCACAGGACGGGAGCGATAGGCAAAGGTCACAAGCCTCTGTGGTAACTGCGGTGGAGGAGGAGGTGGGAGGCAGCAAGACTGCTACTCTTCCTGCATCTTCCTGCCTGGACACTGGAGACCTCACTCCTCACCCTGCCTCTGCCTCGGGCTTGAGGTGGGAGAGACCAGGCCTCCCCTGAGCTCTGCCACCTGTGAGGCTCACTCTCGTTACCCTCCTCCAGACAGGACCCACCCCTTTGCACACTTAATGAGCACCGGCTCAGCCCTATGCCTCACTGGGAATTAAACCTTCGACCTTTCGGTATAATGGAATGACTCTCCAACCAATTGATCCACACGGGCCAGTGCGTGGACATAGTTTTTTAAGGGTCTTTCTATTCCATTCTCAACTTACAAGACCTGAGATCTCAAGCTTTTGTTTTAAAATAGTTTTTCCATCTCTTGATTTATAAGATGAAGGAAACGTTCTTTCTTAGGGGCATTACCTCAGAAAAAAAATAAATTTGGAGAACTTACATTAACTTTAAAGGTCTGTACCGAGCCATCTAGAAAGCGGATGCTGCACACGACTTCGGATCGGGCTTTCTCTTTCGGCAATTCTGAGGTGCGTATGTTATTAATTCTTCCACCAAACGCACGTAATCGGGAGGTCATAACTATCGCTGAGTAACCTGCAACAGAGGATGCACCTGTTAGCTCTCTGATATGCAAATTAACAGTTACATGCAAATGCACCTCTCAGCCTACCAATCCCAAACCTGTCTGCTTTGATCTTCACAATAGGAGGACCTCACGAATAATGTGAACTAGATAAAAGATCATGCTTCTGCTTAAGTTTTGACTTCTAGGAAGCTCTAAGCAAAGCATATTGTTAAATTATGATATGTCTATAGAATTACATGGCTTGTTTGTGTTTTATTATCTTAGCCAGATAATATGTACCCACATATATAGGTATTTCCCATGCTTTTAATTTTTTATTTATGTTTTACTATTTTATATATTTTTGTATCTTACCCCTAAGGATTATAAAACTACATATGATATAAAATATGAAGACATTTACTGATAAGTTAGACTGTATTAAAATTAAGAACTTCTGTTATTAAAAGACATTATGTAAAAGAATAAAAAGGCAACCCACAGAAATATTTGCAAAATCTATATTTATAAGTATACAAAGAGCTCCTACGAATCAATAAGAAAAACAAGCAAACAACCTGTGAGAATAAAGAAGCCACATCATTTGTCAGTGAAGTGCAAGCTAAAACCACAAAGCACTAGTCCTACATACCCACCCGAATGGTTGCAGGGAAATCTGACCAAACCAAGTGCCAACCCCGGTGTGGTGCACCTGGGACCTCATGCACAGCTAGTGAGGGCATTCTGTTTGGCAGTACTTCCTAACCTGAACACATGCATATTAGTCTGTGACATAACTCTACTTCAAGGCTATTCCCAACAGAAATATGTACATTTTTCATGGCAGCACAGTATGGTGAGTGCTACTTCCTTCCTCCTGGCTCACTAAAATATATGTTCAAGTATCTTCATAATAGCCCCAACCTAGAAAAGACAGAAATGGGTAAGTTGTGGAGTAGCACACCATGCATGACTATACAACAAAGGAAATAAAGGAGCCCGGTTTGGCTCAGGAGAAGAGCCTCGGCCTGTGGACTGAAGGGTCCCAGGTTGGATTCCAGTCAATGGCACATGCCCAGGCTATAGGCTCAATCCCCAGTAGGGGGCGTAGGCAGCTGATCAATGGTTCTCTCTCATCATTGATGTTTCTCTCTTTCTCTTTTCCTCTCCCTTCTTCTCTGCAATCAATAAGAATATATTTTTTAAAAAGATGTCAAAAGCAGTTCTATGAATTTTAAAAAAAGGAAATAAAGGAACTATTGTCACATTCAACATGAATGAATGTCTCTAATGGTATGTTGAGTAAAAGCAGCCGGACCTAGAGCATGAACACAATTACATAAAGTCAGTTGGGCGCTAGATTTATTGGGATAATCACCTAATAAGTTAGGTACTGAAATGTCTAATCACTAGGGTGTAACGTCTGATTACCTGAAACTAATAGAATAATGTATGTCAACTACAACTAAATTTTTAAAAAATGATTTTTAAAATCCCACACTTTTCCCTTTTGGTAGCCCTTTGGGGCTCAGTAAGATGCTGCCCCACACATGAATCACTTAATAAATCACTTAATAAATCCAGATCTTAAAAAAAAAAAAAAAGCAGACAAAACTAGTCAAGTTTATAGAAAACAGGATGGTGGTTAGCTTTGGGTGTAGGGACTGAGGGGGGCCCAGGGCCTTCTGGGATGCTTATACTATTCTATTTCTTGATCTGGATGCTAATGAAACTGATGTAATCCACTTTCCATCAGGCTCTACATTTATGATTTGTGCACCTTTATGTACATGTATTTCAATAGCAAGTTTACTTACAAAGAATACATGCCTGAAGAGGAGATTTGTGGATATGTTAGAATCTGACCATGGTATATCCAGGGAACAGTAAGGAAAATGGTTTTACTAGTGAATGTAATTGTGGAGTGGTCAGCTAATAACTTGAAAAAGTGTGCAACTGAGCACCCGGTCCCATCATGCAGGTAGGAAGCTAAGGATCAAGGTCAGCGTAAGGAATGAAGCAGGTGTAAGTCTGACGGGGTGGGAAGAGAGCAGCTAAAGATGAAGGACCTCAGGGCAATGTAACATTCCTTTTTATTAACTCTCCACAAACCCTCTGTAATGCTCTGGGTCTTTGCACCTGCTGTTCCCTTCTGCCTGAAAGCTATCCCTGCTTTGTACTGCTGTTCACACCTCAGTGCTCAGCGCAGCATCACCTCCTCAGGTAAGCCTTCCTGGTGTCCCGACCACTCACTCGTATTACAGGCTCCCCACTACAGTGCTCATCATGATTTCACATTTATAACTAACTAGAGGCCAAGTGCACACATTTGTGCAATGATTGGGCCGGGCTGGCTGGGGGGAGGGACTGGGGCAGTTGGTTGGCTTGTCCCCCATCAGGGTGGGAGTGACTAGGGGTAGGGCCAGCTGGGGGGGAGGGGCCAACCGGGGAGGCCCCCTGGTCAAACTCCCAGTGGAGGGAACAATTTGCATATAAGCCTTTTATTATATAAGGATGATGTGATTATTTAACATTTACTCCTCCCACTGAGTGTGAGCTTCGTGAGGGTAGGAACCAGGTCTGATTTTGCTCACTTAGCTCTGGGAGGCAGTCAATGGATTTCTGAATGAATCAATGAGTGAAAGGCAGAATGAGATAAAAAAAAAAAAAAATGAAGCCAAGAGTTATAGTGTGGATAAACAGCAGTGCAACATGACAGACAAATGTGTGCTGGGGGGAGTAGGCAAGAAGAAGGATGGAATCGGGGCTTCACATAGAATGCAGCTTGGGGATGTCCTGCAGAGCAGCCAGCCTCGTGCTGTGGGATCTTAAGACGTAGGCTCAGCTTCAACCAAGTCTGGTGGGACCCTAACACCTGCATTTCTTGGTCTCCCAGATGCTGCTGAGGCTGCTGGTCTGGGGTCCACACTGGGAGGGCAAGCCACAGATAACTGGAAAAACAGCACCTGATGTCAGGGTCGGGCCAGATCAGGGAATCAGGAGCGAGGGAGGGCTGAGGACCAAGCAGAATCAAGCCTCGGGGAGCCACAGACCACGGTTCAGCTGCAGGAAGTGAAAGCACAAAGGAATGAAAGCTGAGTCGAAGATACATCCCAGAGAGAGGGTGTAGGGATCCCTGATCCTGTTTAAGGAGCTCCGGGTGAACCTCCTTCCTCCTGGAGGGAAGAGTAGGAAATCTTGTATTAATAATAATAATTTTTAAAAATGCCCTAACTGGTTTAGCTCAGTGGATAAAGCATTGGCCTTCAGACTGAAAGGTCTGGGGTTCGATTCCAGTCAAGGGCATGTACCTTGGTTGCAGGCACATCCCCAGTAGGGGGTGTGCAGGAGGCAGCTGATTGATGTTTCTCTCCCATTGATGTTTCAAACTCTTTAACCCTCTCCCTTTCTCTCTATAAAAACAATCAATGAAATAAAATAAAATAATAAATTCCTGGGACCAGCAGTGGAAGGAAACTTGTTCTGAAACTTATAAAATTCCACCTACCCCCAACCCCCACCCTGCCATTTCCAATGCAAATGTCACAGGAGCAGGAATGCATTTTTCTGAGTAATACCGAAAGTTATCCAACCACAACCAATGTGTTCTATTCCAGAATGCCTTAAAACCACCCTGAATGTAAAATGCCAAGTTTATTGTTTAGTCCTTTTCTAAGAATTTCAGGTGGGTTAGGCCTTTTTTTTTTTTTTTTTTTTTAAGATACACTAGAACTATTAGTGGGAGGTGCACAACAGAGTGCCCCGGGGAGTTTTTATAAAATATGCCTGTCCTGGCCCCAGCCATAGATGGTGATTCAGCACCTGGGGGTGGGGCCCAGAATGCCATTCCCTACATTGAGAGTCAAGGGCTAGAGGAGTGGGGGGTTTCTGATACCCAGGGACCTACTGCCCACAGTCAGATTTAGAATACAGGCTCTGCCAAATCTGAGCCATTCATGGTGGGGCCACGGGTGGGAACCAGGCAGGTCCTCAGAACAGCTGAAACAGAGAGGGAACCATAATCACACCGTGACTCTAGACAGAAAGAAACCCAAAGGCGATTTCCAATGGGAGCTGCCCCATGAGTCACCTGGATGGAAGGACCACCGCAGGCACTGATTGTCAAGCCGCTCCTCATCTGAGACTCCCTGCCGCCAGCGCCAGCGTGGGTACCAGCGGGTCCTCTGAGCTTAACCATAGTGCTGTCCAGCATAATCAGGGCAGGGCCAGCTGACAGAATACGGCAAACCGGCGACCCAGAACAGATACACTTTGTCCTCCTCACGTCTATCTGGGTTACATAAAGGGGCGGGAAGGGCACTTAATGACAAGCCGTAAGTGGGCACTTCACAAAAGTGGCAGCAATGTTCTTCCCGCCTTTGTTCCCAGGGCAAACCTTGATAAGAGGAAGCCTGATAAATAAATAACCGCACAATCTGTTTTCAGATTGTCTTGAAATGGCATCTTAAACAATCCAGCCAGGACAATGGGTGCTGACTAACTGCCCGCTTCCTGTAGCACAGCGATTGCGGCACTCGGGGGTTTCTATGGCTTCCTTTATAAGCCTCTTAGTTCTAAACAAAGCCACAACCTGACCAGGAACACTCCGGCCTCTCCCACCGCTAATGATTACAGCTGCAGCTGATGCATTTATCAACATGGAAGCCGAGCTTGCTCTGTGCGTGCTTTTTCAAAAAGCAAATAGTCACGGATTTGCTCTGCACTGTAAGAAGAAAGGTTCTACTGTCACTATCATTTTTATCAAAGATTCTACTTGCAAAACATAGAAAAGAGGCCACATCTCACTCTGTGCACCGTAGAGGCCCCATAGGTACAGAGAGCGTGAGGGCTAGCAGGTGTAAAGCACCCACACAACAGAACACGAACAACAGAGAGCTAATCAAATTAAGTGGGCCACATACCAGGTACTCAATAAAAGACATTTTATTAATAACTAGTGGCCCAGTGCACGAAATTCCTGCGGGGGGGGGGGGGAGGAGGAATGCATATCC